TGTAAGTTTAATACTACAAATAATAAGACCGCGGAACATTAACTGGCAAAATTGGAAATATGCAGCTTACGTCATTTCCATCTGTTGCAGTCAAACACTTGATGATATACAGGGGAATGGGCGGGTACAATTTGACACGGACGTCTGCGAAAACATTGGATTGAAATTGCAATTCGAAATTCATTTTCAATCCACCTGAGCTATTTTTCGCAAAATGAAAAAAATGTTCGAAACGACAAATAATTTCAGTACCCAAATACGTGTAGTTTGAAATTAATGTATAACAAATTTCTATCCAATATTTTGAGGACACACAAAAGTTATAGTAGCTATTTTCTTTTAGGGGACGGCTATTTGATTCTAGAAGGGGGGGGGGGGCTGGCAAATTTTGTCGAATCAGATTATTTATGGTTATGCCTCACATAAAAGAATATATTTATTATTTGTAGGATGACAAAAGACATTATTTATTTTCTTCTTCACTGAAAAAAAAAATTTGAAATTCAATTTCAATCCACCTGAGCTGTTTTCAAACCTTAAGTGTGAATGTATGATCCAAAAGACAAATAAATTCAAATCCCAAATACATGTACATGTTGTTTGAAATTCATATTTATATGAGTTTTTAGCCTATAATTTTAAGGACACGTCAAAGTCATAGAAGACCGAGATTATTTTTCAGGGGACGGCCATTTGATTCTAGAAGGGGGGGGGGGGGCTGTCAAAAATTGTCGAGTCAGATCATGCCTTCACATGAAGAATATATTAATTTCTAGGATGACAAGAGCTTTTATTTTTTAGTTTTTTCTTCTCTGGAAAACAAAAACAGGGAGGGGTTGTTCAAACTAAAAGAAAACTTTCTTATTCATTTCCAAGATCGTTCAGCCCCCCTCCACCCCCACCCCCAGCACACACATACACATACCAAACAGAAATCAAATATTTGCCCCTTTATATTTCTTTAAAAACACGGGATAGAAAATTCTTATTTATATATATTTCAAATTAATTGTTCTCTGGGTCAATCAGTAACACCGTGCGTTCTAGCGTAGTCGAGGTGGATTGAAAATGAATATCAAACTAGAATTTCAATCCGATGTTTTCTCGGACGTCCGTGTCAAATTGTACCCGCCCATTTCATTGTCTATCATTAAATGTTTAGACTGTAACAGATGGAAATGACGTAAGCTGCATATTTCCAATTTTGCCAGTTAATGTTCCGCGGTCTTAATACGGGAACAGTACCTACGAGAAGTTAATCAAGGCTTAAAATGTAGGCCAAATACAACAGAAGCGTGATTTAGAGTAAGCATCTATACAGATACCATATATTTATAAGCTTGGGAGGGATACAACTGAACTTGTCGGAGCATGAAATTAAATGCGGTATCTGGCAGGCCCTTAGAAACGGTTTCAAAAGTGGGAGGGGGATCTTCCCCAAAAATCTGGCAAGCAAAAAAAAAAAAAACCAAATTACCTGTCAAAATCCTGGAATTTTCCTGTGCTCGACCTTACAGCAACAAAAAGTGTGGGGGGGGGAGGGAGGGGAGGGACCAACGTCTAAAGGAAAATTTACCATAGCAAAAAATGCTACATTTAGAAAAGTGGGGACCTCTTGCCCCCACCCCCCTGCGTTCTATACGGGACTGTCTGGAGCATGCAAAATGCAAGTCCTGTGAGATAAGACGTAAGCAACCAAAACGCTGAGCTTTTTCGTCCATAGACGACGGACATGGTGATTCCAGACGCTTCACTTCCTAAAGTTATGTTGCATGGATTTATTAAGAGTATTATTTTGGACATTCGACAAATTTTGAGGTACCCGGCCTTGGACAGAATTGACAGACGTTAGACAAAGTGATTACTGTACCGCACCCGCGTTTAATGTTGCGGGGTAAACAAACTTCCCCCAAAAGAGGGAGATTTCATTCACTTAAAACAAATCTTCAATTATATATCCGAGCGTATTTCAACGCTTTTATCTTTATAATATTAAATTTGCAAAGGAATATTGCTTTGCAATTTTAATTTTTTAAAATTATTTTAATTTTAGAAAATCAATATTACCTGGCTTCAAGCACAGAATTCCTTCATCTTTTCTTGGGCACAGAATACAGTATTCTGTAGCCAAACAAGATTTTTTTATTCCATACATATGAAGTATATATACATTACTTTGATTTTTTAGAAGCAAGATAAAGCCCTTTTCGGGTTTCTCTTTTTTCATCTATTGCATGAGGCATTGGTTATAACTCTCCGATGTCCTGTAAACAGCTTGAGGGTCTCTATTCATTGAACAAGTTACATGTAGGACCCCTTAGTCCATTTTTAGACACAGCATTCAGAAGGAATTGGCACTTAAACTATGAATTATACATCGGATATAGCTTACAAAGCTTTAAAACTATAAACGTGTTACGTCGAAAAATACTTAAATAAAAAAAATGTCTACTTGTAATTATGGCTCAAAATTTCATGTCTGAAACTCCTCTTTAGAGGTACAATCATTCAGATTGAGCGGAATTATCATTTAACTATCAATACTAAACATATGATACAAAATAATGAGGCCAAAAAAAAAATGATGATGAAAGAGACATAATGACACAAAAATAAGAGGAAAAAAATTGAAAAATAGAATATTTGCATGACTCAAGCAAATTTTGATCAGTTTTTGAAAACATAAGATTACATAAAATTCAAAGTTTCAGAACATTAAAAAATCTACTTTTAGGGTGATTTTTTTTTTTTTTTTTTTTTTTTTTTGCCCAGCACGAAAATATTGCTTCGCTCCCCGTCCTCCTGAGTGTGCGCTTGTGCTAAAACATAAACGTGTTACCATGGCCTCAAGTTCCAAGAAGTGGAATGTCGGTACACCGTAGATTTGGACAGAATACTGAGTATTCAATAATTCAATCGCAAAAAGTAAAGGACAAGATAGGCTAAGACCCCTTTTTGGCCCCCGTTTCGGGGTGTCTTTTAGAATGATGCAACAGTTTATCAGTTAAAAACCTGTTGTCACCCCTGCCACAAAATGAGTATTGGTTCTAAGTTATGGGATACACAGAGGTCACAGGAAGGTCGGAAAATATGTGAATTTCCGAATTTTCTCATTTTTATGCAAATTTTAATCGATTTTACAGCACATTTTGGTTCAGAAAACATAGAGCACAAGCTTGCCTATCTACCAAATTTATATATTTCATACACTAGTGTCAGATGCATCTTGTGTATAAAAATCTCAGATAGGCAAGCTTGTGCTCTATGTTTCCCGAAGTGAAATGTATCTCAAATTTGACCAGAATTGAAGAAATTCGGGAAAATGTCCTACTTTTGCACCCTCTTGTGGCCTCCGTGTAAGCTTTGAATCAAAATTAGGGCTGGTTTTAAAACAAGCATCATTTTAAGTTCTTAACTTCAAACTATCACAATTTTAACTGTGTTTTGATTTTTACGTCAAATAAGGGGCCAGGTTGGGCCATTACCATACCTTGTCCTTTAGTTGCATCCTTTTGCGGGGTCAACTCCAAAGTGATTTTTTTCGGGGGAGGGGGTGCTGCAATAAATTCACTGCATGTATTTTTTTTTCTAAATTGTGTGGGTCATAGTCGGCTAGCAGAATTTTGATGCCGTTTCCGGAGATAAAAGAAAATAAAGACAAGCATACCATAACAGTTTGCAAGTGTATTTTCTCTTGAAGTGTAAATCACACTCCATATAATTTTGAGTTAGATATCTTGGGTTATTAGATTATTACAGAAACAAATGCCTGCGGTATGGGTAACCTCATCATGGGGTAATCAAAATACAAAATGCAAATGACATCATTTGGTCTAAGGACAACGTTACCAACCAGAAAGTTACTAAGGACAAAGTTACCAACCAGAAAGTTACTAATTCTATGGGTTTTCCCCCAAAAGTGTGGATTGGTTTATGATGTAAATAAAAGTCAGGTGACGTTGACAGACGATAACAAAGATGTTTTTCCAGCACTCAATTTCTTGATTTACAGTGCAGTTGAGTTTGTCAAATCTTTGCTATTTAAGTAATTTTGATTAATTATTCAATTTAGGATACAAAGATTCCTCAAAACGAATACACATTTATATGATTCAGTTATAATAAGGCCAAATAAAAAAATATGTGTGGTTCCGGTTACCCGACCTTCCCTATTTTATACCCCTGACCCTAAACTTTTTTTTGGCAATTTTCATATTTTTTCCGGAATTTCCCCCGATTTCCATCAATGGCTCCAGTTTAAGTTTTAGTTTCAGCAATGACGGCCTCCTTGCAAAACATAGTGCAAGTGTTTAATAGTGTTAAATCCAAAGCAAGCTAGCATGTAGGTGTCCCCTACCAATATTGACTAGTATATTATCACACCACATCTAAATGTCATTTGCAAAGCAGTGATAGGTATTATTTAGAAAAAATGAAGAAAATCATTTTGTTAAAAAAAAAAAAAAAAAAAAAATCCCTACCTAGCTACCCTAATTTTTTTGGAAGTGTAACCGGAACCACACATATTTTTTTGTTTGGCCTAATGAAGTTTCTATGTTCCTGTATATGAATTCCGTTCTTGTTGTGCTGCCCTCCCCTTTTTTGAGAATTTGATATATTTCATGATTTATTATTACTGTATTATGATTATTATTTATTAGTATTATTATTATAATTGGTAATTCTAATTTTGTTTTGTATTTTATTTTATTTTTAAAGATTTTTTTTTAATTATTGGTTGGTGGTTTTTGTTTTTGTATATATACTTTTGTTCCAGCAGTTTCAAAATCAAAAGATGCATTTTACTACATGTTCCTGTTATGTCCCTGCACTTAAAACAAGATAGAGTTACATTGACTGATAATGTTTGTCATTAAAAGTACAAAAAGGATAATTTTAAAAAAAATGTACAGAATTTTTTTTGCAAAAATGATAAGTGACTACTTTTTTATATATAAATAAAAATGTAAAACAGTGCCTTAAACATGCATGATTCATCATTCTTGTTGGTCTGGGTAAATTATTCAGCTCTAGACCGCGCTCTCAAAATTTTTGCTGCACCAGCGACACTGGGTTTCGTTTCGAAGCATTAGATGACCTGTAACGAAAGCAAAAGAAAAAAAAAAACTAATAAATATCTGTTGTTAAACTGAGAAAAACATAATTATTGATATAGTTAAATCATTATTTAAATATGTTAAGAGAAGAAGTTTGTTGTTTCATAACATTTCGTGGTTAGACAAAGCCTGAATTCATTAAATCTTTATCCAATCCAGTTCAATTAAATAACTACCTATTTAAACAAGGCCACAATCAAAGAATGAAAGTGATCGTTTTTCTTTTCTGTAAACATTAACTGACGAGTCCATTAATTTAAACTTTTTCAGCAAATGTATATGATTTAACATGCCTTTTATTTGAAGACCTACCTTTTGGACATCTAGGGAGTGAATGAATCTGGTGTCTATCCGCTGTTGACTTTTCTTCCAGACTAGACGATGTTGGTTCTTTGCGGTTCGTCTTTGTAACTGCTACTTGAGCTTCGTTTTCGTTGGCAAGATCAAAGCTGATATCGATATCTATAGGACTGCGCATGGACTTTCCCTTTCTTTCAGATATCTGTGATGAAGATAATTTCCCTACCTGGTCATCAGTCTCATTAATCACTTTGCCTTTATCAAGTCTAATTCTTGGAGCACTTTGCTCAGCGCTCCTAATGGGGGGATTTGATTGAATAAAGAGAAGTTCTTTTGAGGTGTAGACATCTTTTCCATCACTGGTCGATAGTGATGAAAGAACTGGTTTAGAAAATGTGGGGTTATAAACATCATTTTCTTCTTTTGGTTTGAGGTTAGTTTTCTGCCATGCATACTTTGTTTCTGGTTGTATGTTCAGAGAACCATTTATTTTAGTCTCTTGCTCTGTTTTGTGAATGTTTTGTCTTGTGTCTTTTGGAACTGCCCCAACAAATGAGTGTCTGTCTAAATGCTTTGCGTTTGAGGAATATTCCGAAATCAAGGATGGACTCCATTTTAAGTCTTCGTTATCAAATTCCTGTATTGGAGTAGCTGTCTCCGAGCCAGAGAAAGATTTTGGTTTTATGTTTGGAGTAAATTCTAACATGGTGTCATTAGAACTTCTGCTTGATCCTTTCACTGCATTTTTAAAAGTAATTTCACGAGAAGCTGATTTTGAATCATCTGTTGAAAATTCCGAGTTTTCCTTGCTTGATCGTATTTTACTTTCGACATTTTCTTTGTAGTCAGAAAAATGCATTGATTTCTTTCTCTGATCCTCTGGTATAGGTACTGATACAATTCGTCTCGGAGGGACTGTCTCAACGTAGGTCTTTTTTCCAATTAAGAGAGTACAAGATGAACACTGCTCCTCTTCTTTGTAGGTATTGGAAACGTGACCTAAAAAATATACAGTATAAATTCCTGTTTGAAAAAGAAATAAACACTTTAGTTTTTCCATTTTTATTTAGTAATATCCCGCTACCACCTGCATATGATGTTTACATCTCCCAACTCATTCGATACTCAACAGCATGCTCCAAGTACGATCAATTTATTAAACAGAAAAAGGCTACTGAAAGATAAGTTGATGTCAATACATAGGGCTAACGGCGGGTGTGACTGATCAACAGAAAATGCTTACTCCTAGGACCTGACCCCAGCTCTGGAATTTCCAGGGGTCCGTGTTTTTTGCCCTGTTCACAGATTTGAATTATTTATTGATTTCTTTTTTTAGATCGATCACTGTTCGTTCTTTTCAACTTTTTTCATTTTTAAGGAAAAAATATTAGCATTAACCATATTGCTCTATCAAAAGAAAAACCATTTCTTACCATTTTTGCATTTATACCACGTCCCATACTGCCATGTTCTTCGACTACCCAGATCTTCAAGGTTAAGCAACTCATCAAATACTCTGTCGTCAAGTCCTACACCGTATGCCCTTGCCAATAAACGGATTCTCTGATACTTTTTCTCCAAGAGTGGCGATTTTTCCTTTAATAGTAAATCAACTATAGGACCATATTTATCTCTGATGTCGTCTCTGTCTGTACGTGATCGATTGGTTAGTTTCAGAAACTGGACCTGATACGCAAGTCGTAGCAATTCCATACGAACGTCGAGAAGTTCTTGCTTTGAAAAGCATGTTCGCTTTCCTGCCTTTTGTATCTTTTTCTTGTTTTCGGTAACAGTAGATACACTTTCAAACAACCACTGGCGAATCCTTGTTAACTGTGATCCGATTAATTTTTCCTCTTTAGTGCCTTCAATGTCAGATTGAAGAATCGCTTGGAAAATGTGATAAATTATTTCTAGGATTACTGTCTGTAAGTGAGCTAAAGTCACTTTTTCATTAGGCAACATAGTTTTCTCTTCAAGTTGTTTGATGATTAGATCAACAGCCTCTGAGTCCTTTTTTCTCAACAAGACTGATCTTTCTTTAATGTAGTTTACTCCCCTCTTAAGAGAAAAGATATCGTCACTTGCTATTTTCTTCTTAACAACTTCTATGTCCTTTCTGATTTCCTCAATTACTGACTTGTATCTCATGCTTTTTGTTATTTGCGATGCACACGCTGGACACTGCCTAATCCCTATAGGAACTGAAGAACTTTGAATCTTTGCAGGGTTAAACATGTACAAGTCCATTGAATTAACACTAAAGATGTGACTACAATTCAATGTTACAAAACGTGTGTCATTGTCTATTGTGTCCATAGAACCTTCATAACTTATACGATGGCATGTTTGGCAGATTGGTGGACACTTCTCACCACAAACTCCTAAGCATTCATGTTCACATCGAAGCTTCTTTGAACAGCTTTTCGAACATGGCAGTATACTGCACTTTTCATCACACCTATTAGGACATTCCTGATGTTCACAGGATCGACTACAAGGCTTGTTGCACTCTTCACAGGCGTCTCCACATTTTGCTTTACAATTTCTATGAGAGCATACAGTTCGACATTTTTGGTTGCAAGGTGGACAACCTTCAATACAAGGTCTTGTACATATATGCCCACATACAAGTTTTCGTCCACATTTTGATTGACATGGAATGTGTAATCGACTTTGTTGACAGTCACCACAGGTTCCGCTGCACTTATGACCACACTCAAGATCACCGCCGCACTCTCTTTTGCAAGTAAGAGTTTCCACGTCTTCAAAGCACTTTGTAAGAATAAAGTGACCACAAGTGAGGCGTCTCTCACAAGTTTCTTCACATTTTTTATGAGTAGGTTTCAATTTGCAAATACCACATTCCCCTTTGCATTTGTGTAAACAAGGAAGAATTTCTCCACATTGAGATTTGCAGGTCCATGTATTTTCGTCCACAGAGCATGGGACACTTTCAATATGTCCACAGGAAGGAATTATTTTTGGGACCTTCACAGGACAGTCACCACAGTCTTGGAAGCATTTTCGTGGACAGCTATGTCCTTTTAAGCATTTCTTCAAACATGGTTGTAGACACTTGTAATGTTCATGCTTTGGGTCAGAAATGTGACAGATTTGTCCACATTTATGAGAGCAATTCAGATCGTAATTACAAGGCAGAGAACAGCCTCCATTTGGTACCTGATCAAAGTCCGTATCTCTACTGACACGAACACTATTTCTAGGGTGGTTTCCACACCGTAGTACAAGACTTCTTCCGAAATTCCCGTTTGCATCCATCGTCTTTACTATATACTTCCACAATTCACTCTCGGAGCACAAGAGATCAAAATTGCCTATTACAAACATTCCTTTTCTAGCTCTTGATAAAGCAACACAAATTCTATTGTCTATTTTTAAAAATCCTGTGCTACCCAAGTTGTTGCTACGAACAAGTGAAAGTATGATGATGTCGTTTTCTTCGCCCTGGAAGTTGTCTACCGATGTGATGCGTATGCCTTCAAACTCGTGCTTCGGCATTTCTTTTTTCAATGCAAGAATTTGACCAGTGTACGCTGTAAGAATTGTTATTTGGCTTCGATCGTAATCTTGCTGCAGAAAATATCTACACAGTCTTTTGACTAACTTTGCTTCATGGATATTTGATTTGCTTTTCGTCTCCCTTTGTTCCAGTTCTGGTTCGTTGTGGTTAATGAAATAAACATCGGAAATTACACCCTTGATATGTTCGTACTTTTTCACGTCCTCATGGTCATCGAGATTTGGATAGAGATCTTCATATTTCATTAACATTGATATTTCCGGTCTCATTCTGTGCTGAATGCCTAATGTCACATAATTCAATTCATTATTAACCATTCTTTCAAATAATGAAATATCAAGATTAAATTTCTTTGCAAGATGGTAAACTGTAGGAGTAGGACGCAGTTGTTTGTGATCGCCAATCAGAATGAGATGTTGACAGTTTGAATTAATTGTAGTAACGATGTGTGATTCCAACACTTCAGCAGCTTCCTCAACAATAATGATTTTTGGTTTGATAGCTTGCAGGATATTCCTGTATTTTGCTGCACCTGTTGTAGTCATACCTATGACGTCAGCTCCTCTCATTATTTCTACATCCTCGGCATCTAGGACTTCTCTATAACCTTTGCAAAGATCGTCATACTGTTTCTCTGCTTCCTTTATGGAATCTTTCATATTGGTGGTATAGCACTTTAACCAATAACGATAAAGCCTCTCTCGATCACGTGAATCAAGTTTCCACACATTTTTTACCTTTTCAACGTCTTTTTCACTCATAATATCGCTGCTGTCAATAATTTTCCTAAGATTTCGACGCAATTTGTTGCGATTAATTTGATGGACCCAGCCTTCCGTATCTGACGATCGATCCATACTACTGTAGAGTATTGCAAGGGATGCTTCGCTTAAATTCTGGGACGGATTTGTTTCAGTTTCATTGCTGTATTCAGAAAAGAATCGAAGTTCATCGTCGTTTTCATCTTCTTCGTCTTCCAATCTTCTTTCTTCGTCTTCCAATTCTCCCTCTTCTTTCGCATATACGCATTCCTCCTTAAGAACTTCTGCGATTCGGCTGCAGCTTTCTGGTGAGCCATCAAGACACAACCAGTCCAAAATATCACCCTGATCTTGAATCATTTTTGGCATTCTCTTCAAATATTTGGGAATATGTTCAACCAATATTTTGGACTGTAAGACAACCTTTTCACTTCTTGTGCGAAGTTTTGAAAGTTCATCTATCTGCATATTTGGAGATTTTTGTTGCTTTTTTGAAACCTTGGGTTTTCCAGTTTGGTTTGCAAGAACCATAATCTCGTTACTTAAAAAATCTTGGAATTCTATCAAAAGATACTTATATAAAGATCCCCTGTCTTGCAAAGATAGTTGCCACGGTTGTTTTACTTGTCTTGCCTCGTCTTTTGTTAACCTCTCTATTTGAGATCCATTTGTTAGTTCCTCTTCCCATTCTGTCATCAGCATATTTTTTCGTTGATTTTCAATGTCATTTGGATCAAATGCAATGTCTGCATTAAAACCAAGCCATTCGTCTAATCGATTTCCTGGCATTTTGGCCATAAACAATTCATTTTCAAATGCAATATTTTGGAAACTTAAGCTTTGCACATGGTCATTGTCCATAAAATGTCTTAATTCATCAAGACGCAGAATACCTTGTTTTGCACATTTTAATTTCTTACTGACACATTCTATTTGTTCTCTGCAATTCCACATGTTTTTAAGACAATCAGACTTTTTTTCATGGATCGTCCTCGAAATAGACCTATCTTCACGAGCCTCTTTCCGGTAGCTTTGTAGAGTAAATTCTTCTAAATCTGGTGTTTTGCATCTTCCGCCAATTCGAACTAATTTTTCTGAGTGCTTGGATATCCCCACAAGAAATTGATCTAGCGCATGATTGGTATAGCATACCACTAAAATAGGATCCATTTTTACGTTTTCAGTCCACCTCTCTTTGTTGTGCAGTAAAAGTTCAACGATTTTGAGTCCAACGTATGTTTTGCCTGTACCTGGAGGTCCCTGAATGATTGCAATTTCCTTTGTGATTGCCATTTGTAATGCCTTGTGTTGTGAATCATCCATTCCAATATCTCTAGCTGAAGGCCATCTATTTGTCCTAAGTACTGGACAGTTGTACACTTGGGCTCTCCTTTCAGTATTTAAAAGAGGACTGAAATCATACGGTATCACAGTTCCACCTTTTAACAAATACTTTGGGGGTTTTGCATTTGGCTTGCAATGAACAATACACGACTGCAGTGGCATTTCATCTCCAACTTCTTGTAATCCTTGAAGTATGTATTTGTAAGCTTCAAAATAGGCTGTTGTTTCCGCCATGACGTATGTCTGTGTGGAGAGAGCATATGTTTCTGTCTCTTCTGTAAATTGAACTTCCACTATTCCATTTTGCAAATCTGTGATCTTCCTTTCAGTTACCGTGGCAAACAACATTGTCTGGAATCCATCCGACGAAAGGCAAAGTAATGACCCAAATAGCAATCTTCTCGACGATTCCCAGCGTACGTGAGTCAGTTTAGTGTTATCAAATTTTATGACGTGTCTGACTCCATGTTTGGAACACAGTGGACGAAGTATCTCCACATTCTCATACATTCTGATGTCTGTTTGTCGTTTTCCTTTCACGTTTTTGAATTTTTCAAGTTCTGTTCGATAATCAAGAATTCCCTCTCTCAAAGGATGCAAATAATCCTCTCTCAGTAGGCGAAATTGTATGTCTAGGTACTGTTGCAGATTATCATAACCCCCTTTAGTTCTGTTGCATCGCAAAAAAGGTTTTCTGTCAAACTGCAGGTCTTGAAGAGTTGGGAGAACAGATAATTCTCGGAAATCATCTGGTGGCTCCTGCTCTGTGGACGGAGGATGTCTTCTTGGTTTCTCCGATTCTTCTTGAATTTTAACATACTTTTGTTTCATGGCATCTTTTACCTCATTCAATATATCAAGCTGCTTAAATATGTCTGGACAGGATATAATGCAAATGGTTTTGTATTTATGGGATACCAATCTCTCCAATATATCCAAGACGGTGCTAAGCAAATACACACTGCTTTGCATACGTTGAAATAAAATAAGGGTCAACTGGGTCATGTTCCATAGCACCTTCCCCATTTTGTCATCAGGAAATTCAAATATACCAATTTCGACATTACACAAAAAACGTAAAATATGGTTTGATATAAGATTCTTTGAGCTTAAAATTTTTGTAAGTTCCATACAATTTTGTTCTTTGTTTGATTTGTATGCTTTTACCAAAATCGCCACAATTAGGACCATCCAATCCTTTTGTAATTCTTTTTCAAGCAAATCTTCAAATCCGTTTCTGGTTGTAACCAACTGAAGAAGGACGTCGTCGGGATCGTCTTCAAGGTCTAGTTCTTCCAGTCTTTTGTACCCCATCATTCTTGTTCTGGATTGACTGCCACTGCGGTGACCATAGTTTGATCTTTGACCTCTGGAGTGACCACGCCCACCACCTCTTCCTCCACTAGAATCCGAGCTTGATCCTCTACCTCTGTATGATTCTCCTCCTCTACCCCTCCCTCGAAAATTTGGTCTCCCTCTTCCACCTCTTCTTCGCTGCGATCCTCCTTGGCTAGTGTCGTCGAATTCTGACGAGTCATAGATTGGCAAGGTGTGCATTTGCTCCCTTTCGTCTTCTCTATCGTTGTCATCATCGTAAACATGGACTAAGTTTGAAGGTAAAGTGTTTTCTGTGGTCCTGTGTGGAGTGTGGGATCTATTTCTTCTCGGCCGTCGCCCCCCTCTTCCCCTTCCCCTGAATCCCCTCACAGAGTCATCCATTTTCTGAAAGATGCATTTCATACTGATTGTATTAAACATATGATACTTATTTTACGTCTGTTTTTGTAGATTACCTGAAGGAATGTTTTAACAAAAAATCGGTGTTTGTTGTTTGAAAGTTTAGATCTTAGGTCATGAATATATTGTATCCTTGTACAGTGGCACAATTTGTCAATTTACTATAAAGGAGCAAGAGAGCCCTTCAATTTAACATATGTGTAAATACTTATAGCAATAACATCATTTTTCTGAAACCTGTTGTCTTTTTTTGGTGATTGCTGTAAATGTGTTGCATCTAAACAAAAATTGATACAACAACGTGAGTATAAAGCAAAATAACATACAGCAAAAATAACTATTCCGGACAGAATGACTCTTTCAGCTCCGCCCCCCCACCCCACCCCCGATGTACATAGCCGAGACTGTCGGACCTTTAATGATGAATTATTTTGTGATGGATATTTACAATATAATTCATATGAAAAGTCTGAAAAAAGTAAACGATAATTCTTTACAAAAATACATACCGACTGCATAATAATTATATATAAAGACCTATTTAATGTAGAGTCGGTTTATATTTTACAAAGAATATTTTTTAAGGATTTTATCAGACATCTGACAAGAAATGAATTGTAAATTTTAAAAAATCCAATAGCCATGGGGTGTGTGCTTTACGTTTACCTGGCATTAAGATGGGGGTACTGGCATATTGTAAATTTTGAATTTACCCATGTGGCAGTAAATACAAAATTTACAACATGGGAGTACTCTCCACAAGTACAAGTACTTGTGATTGAGGATATAGTTTATCAATAGGGCTTTTCTATTAAGGTTAAGAATCCAAAGAGAGAGAAAGAGAGAGATGAATATTACCTACCTATTTGAACCCATCATCCTTGAAACTCAAGTTAGTTTTAAGATATCATTTTCAGTAAATCTTCCGGACGATCTACGACGCGCAGTTATTGAAATGGTTGAATAAAATGTAGTTTTTTTTTCAGCATGGATGGAATTATCTGATGATATAACTAGTCATTTGGATTTTTTTAAAAATAGAATTTGCATAAATATACACAAAAAAAAAAAATAAATAAATAAAGAAAGAAATAAAAAAGAGCAAATAAAAGAAAACAATTTACAAAATTCGATTTCAAATTAATTAGCATACATTTTGTAGCTTTTATTCTCTAAGAAAAAGTATAAATTGAGCACTGTGTTTTTCATAATAAATTGATTTAATTTGCATGAAACTGTATGTTTTAGAGCTATATAACCCAGAAACTGGGCCGGTAATACAAATCTGGTGAGCCACTGATGACGTGATTACAATAATATAATTTTACAACACGAAATAGGATTTGATTAGGTCTCTCTGAAGGTACTACCTCAAAACAACTTCAGAATAATGAAAGAGGAAAGAAAAAATGGATTTATATACAAAGGCGAATTCATTGTACGCACAAGCCGCCATATCAAAACATGATTAGATGTGTGTTTTTTTCTTCTTTCGGTTTATTTTCAAGGAACCTGCACCTATTTTTATATTATTGATTTTAAATGCACCGACATAGAATGAAATAACAATTAACATATGCATACAATACAGCCCGAAAATAACTTTAATGAAACACTTTTTCATTACAGTACATTTCTCAGCTTTCATCATAACATGAAAAAATCATGCAATACTTAAATGTTACACATGTATAAAAGGAGAGATGTCGTAATTCAACTGGATTTTTAAAGATCGATTTGAGGTCTTATGACTAATCGGTAGATCTAGAGTGTCTTTTTAATTTAAATGATGCATTAATTTTCTAGTTTGGACACCTTGTAGTAATTCTAACTCATAAACCAGAGATAAACACATTTTATGTATACCTTCTCTATAATAAACAGTATTTTTGAAAAACTAAGATGGTTAGTAATTAATTTATATTTATTATGGCATGTCAAACGTTGCAATATTCGATCTTTTCCATTTGCATTGTATAATTTTCCATTTGTATTGTATAATTTTTATTTGTATTGTATAATTTTCTATTTGTATTGTATAATTTTCCATTTGCATTGTATAATTTCTTATTTGTATTGTAAAATTTCTTATTTGTATGCGATAATTTTTCATTTGTATTGTATCCGAGGACTGTTTATTTGTTTCGTTACGAAGGATTTCATTGGTCAAGTTTCAGCCTGTATCGGGTTGAAGATGTTCCGGATGCTCAAAGCAAACTGGGCTCATATGTATTTGATTGATTGATTGATTGATTGATTATTGTTTAACGCAGAGTCGGCAATATTTCAGCCATATTTCGGCGATATATGTATTTGCGTGCATGTTAGACGGTCATTGGATTCTAAAAAAGGAGCGCTGGTAGATGGCAAATAAATAATCTGTCCTTAGAAATGCTGACTAAGAAAATAAATAAATTGACTTTGAGTGGTGGTACCTACCCCCACCCCCCAAAAAACTGAGTTTTCGGGTTTGGGCGGATTTTCTTCTTTGTTTTTCTCCTTGTCTCTGGTCATATTGGAAATAAATATTCTCTCCTGCGAGAGAATGAAAATAAATAATCGGATTCGACACCCCCCGAGAATCAAATGGTCGTCCTTTAGCATGCAACGCAAATAGAGGAGCCGAGTGTGTGTTTGTAGAGAGTGCACCTGTAGATGGGCACCTGAGACCTTTATACAGACTAAATTTTATGACCAATGACATCCTTCGTAACGAAATAAATAAACAATCCTCGGATACAATACAAATGAAAAATTATCGCATACAAATAAGAAATTATACAATACAAATAAGAAATTATACAATGCAAATGGAAAATTATACAATACAAATAAAAATTATACAATACAAATGATTTTTTTTACAACACAAATGGAAAATATAGAATACAAATAAACATTATACAATCCAAATGGATAATTATAAAATCCAAATGGAAAATTATAGAATACAAATAAAAATTATACAATCCAAATGGAAAATTATACAATACAAATGAAAAATTATACAACACAAATGAAAAATTATACAATACAAATAAAAATTATACAATGCAAATGGAAAATTATACAATACAAATAAAAATTATACAATACAAATGGAAAGTTATACAATACAAATGGAAAAGATCAAATATTGCAACGTTTGACATGCCATAATTTATATATTGCTATATTGATATTTGATAAAGATAACAACTGTCACAACACACTTGTCCCTCTGATAATAAATCACTCTATCAATTTAAGCCCCACTGAAATACACTAAACATTTATACAATTTAAGTATGTTTGGCATTAAGATCTGTGAATTAAATCAGGAGCACAGGGCGGATCCAGGATTTTTTCCCTAAAAATGGGGGGTTTTCACATCAACTGTAAGAAATGTCAGTGTCAAAAATTTTTTTGACCCCCCCGAAAAAAAATGAAAAGAAAGAAAATTTAACAGAATAAAACAATTTAAAAAAACTCGCCCAAACCTGAAATTCCTATTTCAGCTTTGGGGGGGGGGGGGGGCACTTTCCTAAGTAAAACTGATTTTTCTTCATATATATGACTCTACCGTTTTAAGAGGGCCGGGTCCGTGTTTCCCAGGAGGGGGAGGGGGGTTCAAAGTTGTTTTTTTTTTTTTTTTTTTTTTTTTTTTGCTACTTTTACATAGAAACTGAATTTAATAACTCGGATTTAAATTTTCAGGGGGAGGGTTGGTATCCCCTGGACCCCATCTATGTCCGCCTATAGGAGCAGATCCAAAATTTAAGGCGTGGATTTGGATGGGGGTTGGTGAGGTATTGGGATAACGAAAAGAGAGCTATGACGAAACCAAATGACTGTTGGCATTTAGTAAGAGCATTTAACGCTGATATATAATGAAAACATGTTTAGAAACTTCTTTTATCTGAAAATTATTAAAACTACGAATTTCATTACACGTTTGGTTGACACATATCATTGCACTTTCACGAAGTAAACTGTATCCTTAATACTTAAGAAAAGTAGAAATTTTGTTGTGTATTAATGAAAAATATGAAAAGTTTTATCCAGGAAATTCAGAGTAGAAATGTGAGAGAGGAAAACCAACTCACCAGTATTGTCAGTACTTGCTCAGTGATCTGTTCAGAGTAAACAAATTGAAGACACACGGTAAAAAGTAAACATTAACAACAAGAAGCCCAAGGGCCCAAAATCGCTCTACTGACAAGTTGTGCAGCCTGTCACTTCTATTCTAAGCCTCTTAGTATATAAAATATTTAGATAGAGCCTTGAAATTCCAAAAGTAGGTCACCGTGATGTAAAGTTGCATTCACTGACAAAGTTCGATGATTCTAAGCCCCTTATTACCTTAAATATTCAGATATAGCTTTGAAATTCCAAAAGTACATGTATGTCACCGTGATCCATTTTTTGGTTAATATAATCCAAGATCCCAAGATGCATGAACTGATCATTATAAGCCTCTTATTATTTAAATCATTTAGATATTGCCTTAATATTCCAAGAGTAGGTCATCATGACCTACTTTTTGCTGACACATTTCAAAGACCCAAGATGCATCAACTGACGAAGCTTGATGATTCTAAGTCAATAAGTATCTAAAATATTTAAATATAGCCATGAAATTCAAATCATAGGTCACGTCGACCTGTTTTTGGTTGACACCCTTCAAGGACTAAAGATGCGTCAACTGACAAAGTTTGATGATTCTAAGCCAATTAATGGCTGAAAATATTTAAATATAGCCATACACTTTCAAAAGAAGGTCACTATGACCTACTTTTTGGTTAAAATACTTTAAGGCCTCAGGTTGCATCAAATGACAAGGTTTGGTGATCATAGGCTTCAAAGTGTCCAAAATATGCCTCTAAAACAATTTGAGAATGAATACCTGCAAAATTCAAAAAGTAGGTCACTGTGACTTACTTTTTGAAAAATATGTTCTAGGCCCCAAGATGCATCAATTTACAAGGTATGAAGATTCTAAACCCCTCAGTATCTGAAATGACCTTAAATGTTTTTAATATGATTTGCCATAAAATTCAGAAAGTAGGTCATGGTGACCTACTTTTTGATTGAGACACTTCAAGGCCCCATGATGCATTAACTGATAAGTTTTGATGACCATAGGCTTCAAAGTATTCAAGCTACGCAGCAAAATCAAACTGAAAATAAATACCTGCAAAATTCAGAAAGTAGGTCATCATGACCTACTTTTGAGTAAAAGTGATATGAAGTCCTAAGATGCATCAAACAACAAGATTTGATGATCCTAGTTCTTATAACTGGCAAAATTTCAAAGTTTTAACAAAACATAATTTTTCGTAAACTTTGAAGCGACATTGAGACCGGGCCCTTTGCCCCATGGTGATGCCTTGAACAATTTTTAATCTGTGGTTGTTGTACTTAGTTTTCTTTTATTTTGATTAATGTCATATATTTACTCTACATACATAAAGTAAGTATAAATGTCAATCAAGTTCTAGAACCAATGATGGACCTTAATGCACTTGACTGACAGGGGTACACAGACCAGGTATTTTTGAAGGCAGTGCTTAAAATCTCTGCCTTTAAGAATATCACGATGTCGGGTGACAAAGAAATCAACAAAATTATTAGCTTTTTGCCACTGAAATCAGAAACGAATCGGGAAAAGAGTAGACAAGTCTATTAACCAAACACCCTTGCATTCCTTTAGTAGGAAAAAAACGATAGATGTGCCCCTGCAGAAAAATGAGCAAAATTATTCATTTACTAGTGAGAAAGAAGGGGCGATTGATTCTTGCCAGGAGAAGTGATATCCCTTCGTGTATTGTTGGTGCAAGTTATATTCCAATAGAATTCGGATATATTTCCTTCCAATTTAAGTTTTGATATCATTGTGATTTGGAATATACATTTCATCATTTATTGGAACAAAGTTTCAATTTTTGTTTCTGTGACTTTGAATATATATTTCATTACATTGTGAAACATGTTGGATTCATTGCTTAAAAATTTCTATTTAAGTTGTGTCTTTGTTGTATTTTCTTAATCCAATAACTTACCTGTAGCAGTCCAATAATTTATTAAATTTACACTGTCCATTATTTTTAGTGATGGACAGATTTTTTAACTTACTGGATGTTTACAGGTAACTTATAGGACTGTTTTGGGTCTTTCAAGATATAGAAAGCATTAAAAGAACAAAAGATGATGTCATACTAATGTTTTAAAAATGGAGATTGCAATAATTCAAGATCCTATTATTTATGTAGCGGTTACATATTTGACTTCAAATAGATGTTCAAGTATCTGGCATCAAATTTGTTAAGCTTTCCCTACACTACCATTTACAAAGTTGTATCTCTACGTGGTGTTAAGCATTTTATACAAGCATGTGCCTTCACACTCCATTTCCCCTTCTACCGGGATAACATATTCGAATAGTTTGAAGAGCAATCATTCAAGCTTTGAAATTCAAAAACGGAACCCAAAGTGCATGATTCATAAACAAGACAACTCCTTCACTACATTTTAATAAAGTAGAAACAATTACACTTATACAATTTTTAATAAGATTATGAAAACATTTTTAGATAACTGTAAATACAGGATAACCCTGCTGTAGTTCTGTTCTAACCAAAAATTCAACCACGACGTTAAGACAGCTTGCTGCAACGCGAATTTTTTGCAGTCCCAAGCAGTGGTTATTTCACCTTAACATCCGAGTTACTGAATCTGGGGTCACACTTATCAAATTGAAGCACATCATACTCGAAGCATTCTTGTACATTCAAGTACCAATTAAGTACCAATTAATTACATACAGAGAAAAAAAAATAAACTTAATTATTGATTTCTTAAGGTATTGTTAGTACATCAAGCTTCCGAGAAACGGAGCTCAAGCTCAATAAATACCAACACAACCGTCTAAATCCATTATACATGTACCATCAATACAGATCAAAAAAATCCTTCAAAAAACAGTGAAATAAACATACTGATACATTTTTTTTTCATTTCTATTTACCTCCCTTGATATTAAATATAACAAATTTTGCTACTGTAGCAGAAGCATGGCTACTGTTCCATGACATGACCCACTCACTAGCTAAATCTACAGAACATTATATCCTTATTCATTGGTTAATGCCTTACAAACTAGCCATTACTTATCTTTGGATGGACCAACTCAAAATACAGAGGAAATATTACTTCATTTATATGCTGGAACATAGCACACATTACTATGTATAGTTTTTGGAACATTCAGGTTATTCTCTGCTCTTAGAAAAAATTACCAACATGTCTGTTATTTCACCCCATACCTTGGTAAAAAAGATATCAAATTAAACTAGTAGCTGCTTATTGAACTATATAATGGAAATGTTCTTCATAGCAGACAAAAATTTTTACAGCATAGGCTCCTCATACAGCAACCTCTAAAAATATTAACGGTAAAAATTTATATTCATAATTTATTAACATATAGATTAGCATTACACTTACATATGCATTGTATGATTTAAATAGAATATATTCATTCAATTAATAAAAATGTGATGACTTAAGGTTCACTGACCCTCTACTAAGAGAGATAACTCTCAATGGGATAAACAACTATTCTCCATTTAAAAAATTGCTGAATTAAAAGGCCATTTCTGTCAAACTTTGCCCCACATCGTATGCTGAAATTATAAGTATTTTAATTTATAGATTAGATTTTTTTATCATTAGCTTTAAAGCAAAATTTTATGTGTGAGCATAGGGATGATGAATCTAAATCATTTTTAAAATCATGTTTACAATTAGTAGAGACAGTCATACATCTTATAAATATTAACCACATATGTTTTTTATACGATTCATTCCTGAATCAAAATTAACTAACAAATAATTCTTACTTTTTTTAAAAAAAAAATCTCTATTACATAGATTTAAATTACATGTTCATGATTTTTTTCAAACATTAAATCATCATGACTTATATTTATATTCAACAATTTATAATCAGTTACTGACATTAAATGAAAGTCAATAATTCGGTTTTAATAAACTTTTTCATTGAAATTTTTATAGTGAGTACACTATTGATAAAAAAAAATCAGACCACAATCACAAACATGAAAATTGCTATAATATGCCAATACAGTGATAAATAAATTGTTTAACATGACTTTTAAATGCAGTTACATGTATAAGTCAAGATTAAAAAAAAAACACCCAAATAATAAAATGAGAATAAAACATAGCCACTGCTTATAAAGTCCAATCACGGACGCATTCTAGCTATGTATAGAAGCAGTTTTATAAATTAACAAAATAACATTTGCTTGGCATTAATGAGGCATATATGTATACTCCTGAAAACCAATGCCACTACAAATGAAATTAACTACAAATATACTAATCAGAGTGGAAAACGGGAAATACAGTATGAAATGCAGTATTTAGAAAAAAAATAACCATACAGGTAAATCAAAAATGAAATATTCCACATATAATTATTATCAAATCAATATGCTGTTTATAAAATTCCACAGAAAAAAAAATTAAATATACTTTTTTACAGCTTGTACCAATAAATATAGAGGAGTGGGATGATTTTGTTTGATTCTCTACAAGCTGACATGGAAGTGAATTTTCCTGACCAGTACTGGAAGTGATTTTGGAGTGAGCTGTATATTGCATCACAAACTGCAGACAAAGAAATGGAAGGTTGAAATCACAGAACTCAAAACAATCGGCATAACTTCCTCTTCCCTTTCTTAATATTTCCCTTCTTCTCTTTCTGTAAACAAAACAACAGCCATATAAACTAAGAACATGAGCACATATACAAATTAAAGAATGTGTTAAGGTCATTGCATGGATTCCAAAATACTGTTTGGTACAACTGCACCAGACTGACTAATACCCTAAGAGAGGTTCTTAGTTTCCCCTAATCCTCATCAGGGATTAGATCTGCATCCACTTACAGCTTTATATCCCTCAATCAGTATACATAGATGACTTAGATATTACACAGATTCATCAGTTAAATGTAAGAATGGCTTAACGAGGCATACAGGAAATAGGAATCAGTGTTGGGAAAGTGAGATATCAAATTCACAATACAAACCATTTTTTTTTTCAAATAAAAAAACTGTACAAATGTCAAAAATGAAGAAAATTCAATTATTAATGCCAAGAAATCCCTTTTTTCCAACACCTGCTTCTAACTGGGATGGGTCTTGACTTAGATCTACTTTATACAATATTTACAGATAAAGTTGTAGCATTCTTGTTCTTTGTGTGGAGAAGATTGCTCTCCCATTATACTCTAATAAAGTATTGAACTCTGATGTAGCAGTATTATTTTGGGGTGGGGGATGTTTTTAATTTTACCTATTATTCACTTTCCAACAGAAGTTCATGACATGAGATAAATTCTATAACAAACTTTTGAGTTCAACATGTTCAAGTATATAATTCTTGACTAACAGAATATAGATGCAACCTTTGATTTACTACAGAAGAAATATTCTAATGCGATGCTAAGGCACACCAATGCAATGCTTTTACTTGTAGTATTAAGATATCCTATATATATACGATTATACGTACAAATTTCCTGATTTCTCTGACGAGGGTGTAGAAAGCATCATCCACGCCCTGCCTCGTTTTGGCTGAGGTTTCTACGTAGGGGATGTTGTAACTGTCTGCCACCTGCTTGGCTTGTTTACCCTCCACTGACCTTGACTGTAGGTCTACCTTATTACCCACCACTGTAATATTACACAATTGCATCAACAACACAAATTACAAAAGCAGAATACATCCTGACACAGATATTTAATTTTTATATTAAATGCCACTGCTCATATGATTTTTCCATTTTGAAAGTGTCATTGTTTACACTTTTCTACTAAATTACCAAACCTACACTAGCTATAATTCATACTGAAATGGTGAGTGGTGACCATCTCTAATGGCCTTGCTTTTAGGAGTAGAAGTCAAAATGGTAAAGGGACTTTTCAACAGCTGGAATTAGAAAGGAACTTTCTGTACCCGTATGGAATCATGGTGTAGGGAGAAGAATTTGATTTTTTAAACATAGGTAATCAGAGATTACAGAGCTCACCTCAACGAATGTTGTCTTTAAGTAAGGCAAAGTCCCACACTAAACTAATAATCTAGGAGTGTGCATCCCTAGATGCAACATTTATGCAATTTTGGTCAGATAGGGCTTGCAGTTACTTGGGAATAGACTTATCTGAAAACTTAAAACTAGTCACTCATCCAGAAAATGTAAATCAAATCCAGCATCCGAAACAAGTTTTGAGATTGTTCATCCCTTGATGCATCATCCATGCAAGTTTGGTTCAGATAGGCCTTATAGTTACTTGGAAATGAGATCTGCTCCAAAAACTTTAATCTGGTTACTCATCCGGAAAATGTAGGTCAGATCCAGCATCCGAAGCAAGTCCAGTAACGTGAATCCTTAGATGTATCATCCATGCAAGTTTGGTCAATATAGGGTTTATAGTTACTTGGAAATGACATCTGCTCCAAAAACTTTAACCTGGTCACTCATCCGGAAAATATAGGTCAGATCCAGCATCCGAAGCAAGTCCAGTAGTGTGCATCCTTAGATGTATCATCCATGCAAGTTTAGTCAACATAGGGCTTATAGTTACTTGGAAATGAGATCTGCTCCAAAAACTTTAATCTGGTTACTCATCCGGAAAATGTAGGTCAGATCCAGCATCCGAAGCAAGTCCAGTAGTGTGAATCCTTACATGTATCATCCATGCAAATTTGGTCAATATAGGGTTTTTAGTTACTTGGAAATGACATCTGCTCCAAAAACTTTAACCTGGTCACTCATCCAGAAAATATAGGTCAGATCCAGCATCCGAAGCAAGTCCAGTAGTGTGCATCCTTAGATGTATCATCCATGCAAGTTTAGTCAATACAGTGCGGACTCGTTATTACGATGTTCATTTTGTCACGGTAAAATATCGTAATACCGAGGGCAACGTAATAAAAGTTCCCAATAAAATCCAGTAAAACATTGTTTTGAAAGCTTGTTGTTGTATTAGGAGGTGTATTTTTCTCCTTTTGTTTCCTTCTTCTGTTTAAATTCTTCATTAAAACGCTATATATCTTCATTTATCTGCCGCCATTTCCGTTTACTTTTACTTTCGTTTCTGTCTAGATAATGCCTTCGTAAAATTTTCAATGTCTTCGTATCGTTACTACATAAATACATAGGTAACAACAATACATGACTGGGCGGTTTTGGGTGTTCAATGAGCTTAGAGCTGCAGTGAACAACTGATGAAAGTGGGCAGTGTGATAGGCATATTCCTGGACAGGATCTGAGAACACACAAGCTAAATGTCAAAATAAATTTGAATTTTTAAATTACTGAACAGAGTTCAATTTTTGCAATTTCAGCAATTATCGATTTGTATTTCTGTTGACACCTGTGAGGTAGTCCAAGCCACTATCCAAACTGTTAAAATGTAAGTGGAGTTCAAATTTTGCCAAAATTATGTTTGATACCCAAGCTGTCAATTCCCGCTGTTTAACTGCAAACGAAATTACACATTACGTATTTAACATACATGCATACGATTAAATGTAACCCTTTATTTAATAAATCAATTTTTCTTATTAACCACAGTAAAAAAAAATAATAAAATAAACTTTACAGAGATAGATAAACTAGAGACTACATTTATAAATAAACAGTTTAATTGTTTAACAATGGCTTTGACGCGTCTCCAATTCTGCTGACCTCGCTAGAACAGTCAAGGTGTGTGCAGTCAAGCGTCACTAATCACCTAACGACCCTAGCAAGTTAACACTCTGTCAGAGCACAGGTGTTTCAATGTTTATTTAGCGTCTCCTTAATTGTCTACAGTCAATCAACACTGAATAAACACGGGGTGAATTTTTACATCGTAATACCGAGTCCCGGCATTTTAGAAAATCGTAATAAACAGTTCTATTTTGTATAGAATTGTTAAGAAATGGTTTTGTGCTTTGAATTTACAACGTAATAAGCGTTCTATCTTATAAAACCTTCACCGTAATAACGAGTCCGCACTGTATAGGGTTTATAGTTACTTGGAAATGAGATCTGCTCCAAAAACTTTAACCTGGTTACTCATCCAGAAAATATAGGTCAGATCCAGCATCCTAAGCAAGTCCAGTAGTGTACATCCTTATATGTATCATCCATGCAAGTTTGGTCAATATAGGGTTTGTAGTTACTTGGAAATGACATCTGCTCCAAGAACTTTAACCTGGTCACTCATCCGGAAAATATAGGTCAGATTCAGCTTCTGAAGCAAGTCCAGTAGTGTGCATCCTTAAATGTATCATCCATGCAAGTTTGGTCACTATATGGCTTTTAGTTACTTGGAAATGACATCTGCTCCAAAAACCTTAAACTGGTCACTCATCCGGAAAATATAGGTCAGATCCAGCATCCTATGCAAGTCCAGTAGTGTGCATCCTTAGATGCATCATCCATGCAAGTTTGGTCAATATAGGGCTTATAATTACTTGGAAATGAGATCTACTACAAAAATCTTAACCTAGTCACTCATCCAGAAAATGTAGGTCAGATCCAGCATCTGAAGCAAGTTCAGTAGTGTGCATCCTTAGATGTATCATCCATACAAGTTTGGTCAATATAGGGCTTATAGTTACTTGGAAATGAGACCTGCTCCAAAAATTTAACCTGCTCCAAAAACTTAACCTGCTCCAAAAACATTAACCTGGTCATTCTTTAGCTGAAATTGCAGCATCTGAAACCTTGACTGGTACAATGAAACACACTAGAAGCATCCTCCATGCATCTCTGACTAATATAGGCCATAGAAGTACTTGAAAAGAAAACTGCTCCAAAAACCTTAACCTGGGACACCGACGCTGAGGGTATTACATAAGCTCCCCCAACTTCGTTGAGGTGAGCTAAAAATTATGTAAGAGAAAAATAGAAGAAGAAAAAGGAAAGTTTACCTCTCAAATTTTACTGAAAATGTCATTAATGAATTGACTACCAGAATTATAAATAAAAAATAATCCTTTCAATAATAAAGTTTTCCCAAAATGTTTTAACCTTGAACTTTGATTGGCACATACACTTTATCCAACCAGGTATTTTGAGGGTGAAGTTTGACCTACATTGGTCCAAGGGCAGAAAATGTATACTGTAGATCACTAAATTTTTTCTGACAGCTTATTTTCGTGTGATAATCATTAACAAAATTTTCATGAATTGTGGTTACTGCTCTTTATATTCTTAAGGAATACTTATATGCGTGAGAATGAAATGTTCACAAGCACACTGTTAGGCGTAATTACACGAAAATAAAGTTCTTGCAAATAAAAAGTGATTTACAGTACTCCGGACAGGGATTTTACCCCAAGATCTTGGCTGATATAGGCTTAGTGGGTATTAGCTTCATCTACATGCTTTCTTTCAGTGAAATTTTAGCTGATTTTAGATGGGAGAAAAAGTCTACTATGGACAAGGACTTCACTTGTTTTAACCTTCAAGTTTACTTTTTACTGTAAATCATTTTTGAGAACTTTATTTCCGCATAATTATGTGAAACTGCCTGCTTGCAAAAATCTTATTCTTGCTTATATTTGAATTACCAACGGTTATATAGAACAAAAACCCAAATTTGTGAAAATTATGTCTCACTAATAGATACCAAATAGACCATCTTGAGAAAATAAGCTTTCATTAAAATTTGGTGATCTACAGTACCTTAAAGCTAGATGCACTAAACTCACTGCCTGAGACACTTAGATAAGCTTATTCTTGATCTCACTCCCACTTTTCTACTACAAATTCCTTTTGTAAAAGTGAGACTGAGATAAAACAACAGGTCTCCTCGCTCCCCTGAGTCATTATGGCCAAACTGTTCTTCATCAGCAGATTTTTTCCCTATTTATTCCTTAGGAAAACTTTAGCCACCTACTGAGGCCCCACCATACCCCTGGGAGTCATAATTTGAAGGAAAAAAAACTTGTATCTACACTACCTAAGGGTGCTACCATATAAATACGACTAATCATGTCTTTCTCATTGTTGAGATTTTTTCCTATATATTCCTCTGTGATCACCTATTGTGGATCCACCCTACCTCTGGGGATCATGATTTGAACAAACTTGAATCTATACTACCTGAGGATGCTCTCATATCAATATGACTTATCATGCTTTTGCTATTTTTTGAGAAGAATATTTTTAAAGATCTTTTCCTATACATGTATATTTCTATGTTAAACTTTGATCTATTGTGGCCCCACCCTACCCAAGGGGTTATGATTTGAACTATCTTTAATCTACACTACCTGAGGATGCTTCCATATAAATATGACTATTCATGCCTTTGCTGTCCCTGAGAGGTAAATTTTTACCTACCATTTACTATACATTTCTACCAGGTATGTTAATCTTTAGTCACCTATTGTGGCCTCACCAAACCCCCCGGAGGTCATGATTTAAGCAAACTTTAATCTACACTACCTGAGGATGCTTCCACATAACTTTCATATTTTCTGGCCCAGTGATTCTTGAGAAGATTTTTAGAGGATGCAATTAAATTTCCACTTATTCTTAATTATCTCCCCTTGGAAGAAGGTTGGCTCTTCATTTGATCAGACTTGAATCCCCTTTGCCCAAATCAGAAAAGCCTACTTGAGCCATAAAAATGTGAGCTCATCTAAGTTTTTGGCCCTAGATACATTATCACAGTGTTTTGAAATAATTATTTCAACTTGCACATGAAAGTACACAGCTTAGCCAAACATGTGCATTTACATGAAATGAATGGTCATAAGCTTTCCAAGCTTAATTACAGCCTTTCTGGTCACTATAAGACTCAGTGTCAGAGACAGACTGAATGTCATTGCTTTACTTACACACCATGGGAACTTCATCAGCATCTTTAACTCGCTTAATCTGTCAACAAAAAAATTTACACATATATTAATTGTTTAAACGTCCTATTTGCATAACTTTGGAATATACAATTAATGATGCATCGATTTTTGTTATTCTTTAGCATAAAAAAAATAATTTTATTCCTATTCCCTATTGCTATTATAAATCAGTATTAGTTAATTAAAAACACACCTGTTCTCTATACTGGTTGATGTCCTCAAATGACTTTGTACTGTTAACAGCGAACACACATAGAAAGCCCTCCCCCGTCCTCATGTACTGGTCTCGCATGGCACTGCAATCAAAACAACTCACTTTTATCTCAGTTTATATGATCTTGCTTGACTTTGTAATCAAATCAATTGATTTTTATCTCAATTTAAACACTTTTCATAAAACAATGATTTTTTTCCTAAAACATCAAAATTGTAGTAGTTGATTTTCAGAAAAAAAAAGATGTCTGCTGAAGAGAAATTCAATTATTGAACAAAGATCCATAACTCTGCGAATCTAAATTCAGCAGAAAATATTTGCATGTATCCACATTCAGTTTTGATCATGTCCAATAATTTGAACAAGGTGAAAAATTTGCCAGGGACTCACTCCTTAACAAGGCAAACATGGTTCAAAATCATTTTGTTTACTTATGAAAACTAGATGTAGATTAATTAGTTTTAAATATCAGCCAATCTAATTAAGATGCAACTTTTTCCAGTACAGGATCGATAAGTAGAAATTAACATACCACTTCCTGAAGGTAAATATACAACACCTTACAAGGGAAATTCCCCCATGGCATTACATAATAATAGAGTTTTATTTACTACATGTACATATGGTGCAAGGATTTAAGGATAATAATTTTTTCCTGATTTATGGTGTGAGAGCATCATCTTAATAAAATGCCCATGTGATAAGAGACATAACCAGTGTCTCTATGGAAATCGGCACTTTATATTACTCAGAACCACTAATGGGGGCTTCCTGAAGCTAGAGATTTTCAGTTGCTTGTCATTTCTGAATTGAATGCAATCTTATCAATAAACCTGTCACATAAGAAATCAACATGAATCTTAAAGTTTCTTGTTTTTATGCTAATAAAATTTTTGAAAATTTACTTGTCAATTCTGTTAAAAAACCCACAAAATTTAAAAAAAATAAAAACTCCATGAGAATTTTAAGCTTTACTATTCAGCTATTCTAGACCTATGGTGTAGTACGAGAAAAGTACACCGAAAAGTACACTGATACAAAAATCTTTATTAGTAAAATTTAATTAAAATTATGGTCATACATAGTCTTATGAATACTCATGATATTGCCAACAGAAAATGTTGATGAATGTAAACATTGGGAAAATTGATGAAATAATTGACAAATTTTACCACTCCTCATTTTCTGCTCAATAAATAATTATTTACCGCAAGGCAGTCAAAGTTTCCACTCATTAAATATTCTAAATAAGGAAACTATAAAAACTTTCAACCCTTCACTTTTACAGGATTTCACTTAGCACTTTTAACCTTGGTATACTCTTTCTAATAACTTCCTTCTAACTAATAGGTACCTGTACTCTGCACATGAACACATTTAAAACACCTACCTGTAAACCTGACGTGCCTAAATGTTTAGCATTAACCTGTACTTCTTTCTAGAACATCTAACATTAACCTGTACCTCTCTTGACCTGCTGTGTCTGAATGTCCACTAATCTGTATTCCTCTTGACTTGCTGTGTCTAAAATGTCTAACAATAACCTGTATTCCTCTTGACCTGCTGTGTCTAGAATGTCTATAGCACTACCCTCTGCTCCTCTTGTGTCTAGAATGTCTATAACACTAACCTCTATCATCTTGTGTCTAGAATGTCTATAACACTAACCTCTATCATCTTGTGTCTAGAATGTCTATAACACTAACCTCTATCATCTTGTGTCTAGAATGTCTATAACAATAACTTTTACTCCTTTTGACCTGCTGTGTCTAGAATATCTATAACACAATCCTGTATTCCTCTTGACCTGCTGTGTCTAAAATGTCTATAACACTAACCTGTATTCCTCTTGACCTGCTGTGTCTAGAATATCTAACAGACATGTCTCTCCATCTATCACCACCTGTTTTCTGTAGGAATCCTCTACAAAAGATGCACTTAATTATATCTTAATAAGTAAATCTTGTATTTTACTGTAAATGTACATAAATTAGTCACTCAAAATTTAGTGCTATGCTCTTCTTCAACTCATTAAGGTAATCAAAAATTAGATAATTAGCGTATTTGAGTTCTGAAAATGACCAATATTAGTTTAAACCATGTATTAGCGTGAACATAAAATAGTGAACATGAAGCAGTGTGACAGGTGCCAAAATAATATTACTCCTAAAATATGTATGTTTACAGTACGAAGAATGCTGTTACATAACAAATCAGCTACAGATTAGCCTGCTATTACATATATCACACTCAAGTTTCAACTCACATGAGGATAAAAAACTGACCCACTCCTTGTAATGCCATTAGGGCACAATAAAATATTTGCTTCCATCACAGACATTTGTGTATCATTGTTTGGTAGTTGTTATGGTTCTTGATTAATGGCATACAAGTATATTACTTCTAAGTCACCAGGATCAAATAATAAACATACTGAGCTACTGTTACACGTTTTTCAGTGTTTGGGTTATCGTATTTGACTTTTCCGAGTCATTCATTTCTCAGTTGACAGTAACAGTATGCCTCTAATCAGGAAGGATTCCTACATTCTACTAAATCTAGTACATCATGTATATTGCTGTTGAAGCTGTCTGTCACATCCTTGTACCAATTCTGATATAAACACTTTCTACTTAAATAAAAAGAGCTTGCGTAAATGAAACTTGGTCTCCTACATTTAGTATGCTATTTAAACATGATCTCTGATTTCATCAATTTCACTTCGTAATGAAGAATTTAAATAATTTTCTGAAATGTCCCTTCCTTCCTTGTGTTAAATGCATACTAAAATACTTCAAGTAATTTTTTTCTTCTTATTAAAATAATTTCTCTATATTTATTCATCATCATCTATTTAAATACTTTTTTGGAAACTTGACTGTTACTACTTCATGTACTTCTGAACAATAATACATTTGTATAAATTTTATTTATTTACATAGTTTCTTTATGTTTTATCTTCATGTTCAGTAGACCTATACAAACTTTTCTGAAGAGTCCACTTCAACAACTTACCTATTGTTGGGTCATATTCTTCAACAAAACTGAAAGAAAAGAGAAAAATGAAAATGAAAATTAAGAGAACTTTTTGACAAGAAACAGTGGCATGTTTTCTTTAGAGGGGGTATCAGGTTCTATAGCTGGTGCTACCAATAGTGTTAATCTAATAGGAATTAATACACAGAAATATTACTCAGCTCTGGCGTACCCAGCATGCTTAATAAGCACAATCGGGATCCTGGCTGACTCAGATATATAAAAACACAGAGCATGTGAAATTTCACTGGTAACCTACTTGTTAATTTCACTATCAAATTACCAATACAAATAAAACTTTATTTTCTAGATAAATGGTATTCTCATGTGGTGAATGCTATGACAATATTAAATTCTGCTGCTGTCAATAAAAAATTAATTTAATCAATATTCTGCCAAATCCAATATATATCAAAAAATGTTGTGCTGTCTATAGCTGATTTATTCATACCATCCTCATGTGACCTCTGATTAGTCTAGATCACTGCATTATATTCACTGTATTTTATAATTACACACAAATGAAATTTGTGAAATTGCTTCAGAAGACAAGACTTCAAACTGATTTAGCCAAATATTAAGGATAATAACTTCAGTATTGTAGAACTTCTACAGTATCATTTTCCTCTTAGTTTTCACATATGGCAACTAGGAAAAGTCTGGTGTGTTTCTGGCCAAACAACCATTACCACAATCTATCAAATCTAATTCGTGTATATGCTCTGCTAACCCTCCCACAAGCAGGAGTGGATTCAAATGTTTTTTTTAATCATCTACTCCACTGCCCTAGTAATTTTATTACCATAATAAAAATATGCCAGAGATCAATGGTTTTACTCTCTGTTCAAGCAGTTCCATCAGGAGTCATGAGGGACGTGAAGGATAAACTATTCACAGCAGATCAATACACAGAGAAACACAGACACCTCATCCCTCATACATAGATCTGGGTTAACCTAATAAAGCACTCCGCTGGCCACCAATACACAGTAACACTAGAGTAATTGTTTGACACCATCATTCATTAATTAAATTTCTTTTCTAATATAGATTGTCTTCTATATCCTTAGAAAGGGATATATATGTTTTATTAAAATCTATGAAATGAATGCTACTGGAATAAGAATATATAAAAAAAAAATTATCACCTTGTAGATTTCAATCATAACTATATACAGTCAAACCTCATTATCTCCAACTTGATGAGACCGAGAAAAAAAAAACCCTGAGATATCCAAAGATTCTAGATATAGTTGAGATTAAAATAAATAAAGGTGGCTGGTAATTCATCACACTTTGACATATATACCCGGTACATGGTATTTGAGATATTGTTTCAGATATTGAAGTTCAACTGTAGGTCATATTAACAGGGTAAAGGGAGAGATATGACTAGAATACAAAGGACATGAAGATGACTTCACATTTGTTTTAAGTGGAAAAGAAGGACCTCCAAAATAAACATGACAGAAAATTGTAAGAGATAGAAAAGCTGGGGGTGGGTGGAGGTGAGGGAGGGGTTCTTTAAAAATAAAGAAAGGAGATCAGGTACCAAGAGACTCACAGAAACCTTTAATTATTGTGGAAAAATAAATTTTAATTACCAGTATAGTTTATAATTAGGGAAGGAGATTTCTTCTTTCCAGCTATGCACAAGATACAAGAAATTACAATAGAGAGACCAGAGGTATTCGAACACAATATCCTCAAATTCTACATGTTCTGCGTTATATACGTTCTGACTCGACCTCTGTTTAGGAAAAAATGCCAACATCTATGTAAAAGAAACTAAAGGTAACATTGGGGCCGGAACATTGTATTACCAAGTTATTGGTCTTTTTTTGTATGTGAACCCCTCTGCATTCTGGTAAAGGTGCCAAACTGCCACTTCAGCAGAGAGTAGGTTTTATGTCAACTACCGGTAATCTCAGTCACATTGACTTAATGTAGATGGTAAAATATCAGATAAATAGTTGTGTGTGACTATATAGGAATTACTGGTGGGACTATTCAGAAACTACAGTAGCAACTTCTGGGGGCTATGCCAGCTTACTGGCAGCTATACCAAAGTAAATATTGAAATTTATTATTTTATACTAGACTTCAGTAAACACTAATCCTGAATACAAAATGGCAAGTTATTATCTCAGAGGAATATATCTACACCATTATTTCCTCCAATATCTACTTCAATTGAAAAGATTTGGTTCATTCATAACATGAAATGAGTTGAATTTAAAAAATTAATTTTTTTTGCCATCCAAAATATCATGAAAAACAGGCAACATTTTTCAATGGTCCAAATTTCATATGCAGGAGATTTATTAAATTCAGTTGTGGGGTATGTTTTTGTTCTTGTCTAAGTAGTAAAAGAATATGTTCATAACACATTGTCACATTATGTGATGGCAGTTTGAAAACACTTTAAATATAATCCTCTAACATGTAAACTTTTTTATGCACAATAAATACTATTGCTCTCTGGTCATAAGCTCATAGATCTGCAGCTATTGATTTACATAGAATGTATCCCAAATATGACTTAATTAGAAGGTTAAAAAAATTGCTTACTGATTCTGAATTAACTGAATGGTTAAAGCGCTCTTTCCAACGCCACCAGCTGAAAAGGTAAAAAGAAAAGTTTCTGAATAAATGATTAAATCACTTCAAATTCATACAAAATGAATGATCAACAAGCACAACAGCTATTAGGTTTCATTTAATAAAATTATATGGTATTCAAAAATAGTAATATGGTAATGTTTTTAACATATCTTTTTGAATATATCCAATCATATATATAGGGTGAATCCAATATTATACCTGCTACATAATTATATAATAGTGTTATTATTTGGATGTACTATGCCGAAATAGTAGTCAGGGTTTGACACATGGTGCACGAGCCGGAGGCGAGTGCACTATGTGTCAAACCCTGACTACTATTTCGGCATAGTACATCCAAATAATAACACTATTATAATTATTATGCTGACTGTTGTTTGTATACGACAATTTAATTAAATTCTCAATCCCAAACCTGTTTGCAGACGTTAAATCTAAATGAAAATTTTCTTGAACATTCTTTAATCAAGCGTTATATCAAAAAGCGTTTTATTGACTCCGAAGAACCAGTTCATGTTACGTTGCAATTTTGGTTACTGATAAATTCGATTATTTGTTAGAGAATTTTTCTTTAAGATCCTTATCAATAATATCAGTCTTTTAGAAATTATATTCATTTATTTCTTGTTTTGTGACAAATGTATAAAAACTACGTTTATATACTTGAAAATACATTCCGTAAAGTAGCGGTGTTTGTGGCGTAATCGGTAACGCGTTGGACTGACGTTCTCCAGACCGTGAGTTCGATCCCCAGCGTGGGTGCTAATTACATTTTCTCTAGAAAAGACACCCGTGCACTATTTTGGCATAGTATGCTTACGCTATATAAATCCTTAGAACACTATGCGAAAATAGTTGGGTATTGATTATATAGAGACAAACTGACAGGAAGCATAATAATTCTTGATATAGCATAGATAGTCTAGCCTCTAAGTTGAGAAAACTAGCATAAATATTTGATGCTATGCACCAATTCAAAAATGGTCACCTTAGTTAACACTTCACTTCAAATGATATACAGTAAAGCACGCTTATAACAAAGTGCCAGGGATGGACGATTTTGCTTCGTTACAAACATTTGTTATATGTCTATTAAGTTCACAATACATTTTAAAACCACTGGGAATGAAAATCACTTCACTGCAAGCATGAATTCATTATGAGCACGTATGTTATATGCGTTTCACTGTATTTACGCAAAATGATGTTGTTTTTCTTAGTTTTAAGGAATTACAATGTACACGTATATGTTTATTTACCATACATTCACCTAACTTTGTCCCCAAAATTAATTACCTCTGATATTTGTACCCAGAATCTTACACCTAGCTACTAGTTGATCTATCAGTTTAACTTCAAGAGAGATAGATATCGTTTGGTTAGCCCACTTAGTCATTTTATTTTGAATCCAGCTCAGCAGGTGCCCCTTAAGGAAATTCGGGAGAAACATTTGTTGATTATCTATTCAAAAAATATGTGATCCTTTTGTCATATTTATTTTAAACTTGCGTTATATTTATCTAACTAGTTAATAAAATCCGAAAAATCATGTACATTATCAGATATCTCAGTTTACTGGCTAAATCCAAAGCATAAAAAACATTAGTTATTGTATGCCACTTGGGCGCGACCTCATAAAAATTTCAAAAGGTTCATAACTTACCACCGACAACTACCAATTTATATTCCGTCATTGGGATCCAGCTATTGTGAAAAAGACGAAACTCTCAAAGAAAATCTGTCTTTGTTACTACACATATATACACTATTCAGCTTAGATCCCAACTTCTTGACCTCGATCCGTGAGAACGAGGTAAAATAAATTGTAGATACGTCACACGTCAACGAACATTAAAATAACATACTGAGGCTCCCTTTGGGTACCAAAGTTTCGATTTATAATCCCTTGATACATTGAGCGGTGTGTCATGAAAAAAAAATAATAATCACAAAAGTTCATCAAACCTTCATTTAGGCTATAAATTATTTTAATTACTGAAATGTTTGTTTGTTTGTTTTTTTTTTTAAATACATTTTTTTATACTGGCCCCTTTGGTCTAAAGATAGCATCGGGACAACTAAACTATTTTTAGATGTATGAGGTGCACAAAAGGTCAACAAGTAAAATGGTCTATTGCAAACATTTCTTTGACGATTTATTTTTTGTTGTTGCTTGTCCCTTATCTCAATAAATAATTTACCACACGTATAACTCGTGTATGGATTGTTTTATTCTGGTAATTTATAGAAATAACTGGATGTCTTTTTTTTTCTTTTACCTATTTAAAAATAGATAAATGTTAATGTCGATCTAACACTGTGTATAGTGACATGGGGGGGGGGGGGGTGTCACAGATGATAAAATATCTTTTCGTTGGAGTTGGAAGGGGATTTGTTAGAGGTGTGATTCATATATGTAAACCCCCACCTTTGCCCACCCCGCCCTTTTCTTTTAATGTATTGGAATAATTATCGAAAAGGAGAATTGTGAGAATCAAAAACAATAAAAGTTATATTTATTTTATTTTGATGTATTTTTTAATTTTAATTTTTTTAACTTTAAAGCTGAGATTAGGAATATTTATAATTTCCTCTTATACACGTTATACCGACACTATCAAGGACCATGCAACCATAACAAGATGGTTTGCGTCTGTACGTATTTGCATTTCTGTGCTTTTTTTTCATGTCAAATTTTGAGGGTTATTTTTGTTGTTAGTATTTATAATTTTAGTTTCTTTCTTTTTTTTATTTTTGTTTTTACAAGCTGAGAGCATCATGGTCCGCTGTGTACATTAATTGTAGTATACTTATAACAGTTGTGTAATGAATGTGTGGACAGAATAAATATGGCAGCTCGTTCTTTTCGATCACAGATGTTTATAAGTTGTAAATGATTATGATTTCCTAATGTCCTACTTACATCAAATTCATTTTCTCATCTATAATATGAAATGTATATTAAATTATAATTAAAATAACTTAATTTATTTAAAATTATATCAAAAATTAATTATATTAAATATATAATGTTCACCTATAATTTTACACTTTTATTTGTAGGTCCCCATTCTCCAGCTCCTAACTCCTGTCGAGGACCGGCGCTGTATTAGTTTTTGTAAATCTCCAAGCTCCCAATTTGGTACCTAGTATAAAATTAATTGCTGGTTATTCACATACATGGACAAATATGTACTGAGAATGAGTATTCTTTATTTGTTGTTTATACTTGTTTTTATTTGTATTTTTATAAAGTTAAGAACTGGGTGAAGTAAAATGAAAGAACTTGGGATTAAGTAGATTGTCTTTATCTGTCTTATTTTTTTTTTTCTGGATAATCATACGAAATGTAAAATTGTAGATTAAAGTTATTCTAATCTAATTATTAATAAAATCATATTTTTTGATCGCTCCATAATCTTGCCGGATTAATTTGAGCGTATTCTTATTATTTCTACTAAACATGGATTATACTGACCCACTTTGGAACCCATCACTACTAAATTCATCAAGCATTTATATAAATGCGAGGATCTAGAGTGTGGTGGTGGGGGAGGGGGTCCAGAACCAATATTTTCAGTACTTAAATTTTAAATACTGATCAAAAAATGACCTTGAATTAACCTCCCTCCCTTCTAGGAAACACAGACCCCCGTAAAATATTAGGAAAATGTAGGCAATTTAGTTCCTTTTCGTGTTTTTTATTTTTCATTTTTTTTTGGGGGGGGGTGTCAAAATATTTCCAAATCCGACATTGAGTTGGTGTGGACACCCCCCCCCCCTTTTTCCCCGATCCGCGCAAGATATATTAATTTATCTGGAATTTACGAAATAATTTATTCTTATACATTTTTGTGTGTATTTTTGTGAAGTAATTATATTTATTTGTAAAGAATACCATTTTTTATTTTTCATTATCCAATTTGACAATTTAAAGAAAACCCCTATGAAGCCCCAATGAAAATTATCTTGATCACTCAGACGCTTCACTGTCAGTTAGTCCATACTGTAAAGCGTATTAAGCACCCCTTATCACGGATTACCTCGGCTCTTTCCGTTCTAGAAGGGACGCCAAGTCGAGAAGAAGGGCATCTCGAACTTCTAGAAGACCTTCGGATACACTCCAAAAAGGTATTCCGAGAGAATCTGTCGAAGTTGGGCCGATTTCATAACTAAAAGATTGATTTAAAACAGATTTCTTGAGATTTGAAGCAAAGCATAGACAATTTATAATTTATTGACGATTCAAAATGGTGGCTGCGTGTGATGCATGTTTTCCCGCTTCTAAGGTATTGAATATCCACCTTTTGGCTTTAGTGTCCAAACAAATTTCTACTTTCATTTTCATTAAACTGGAATGTTTTGCAAGAAAGATAAAGAATTTTTTCAAGAAATTCTAATTTTGGGGGGCGGAGGAAGTCTAAAGAAATGTGTTTAAAGTAGGAAGTTACTAGCTGTCTAAGATTAGCAATGCCAGACCAAAATCTAAAAATATCCTTGTAGAGTTTTCTGCAATTGTATTTTGTAGTTTAATGATAAAACATTGCTTTTCTTAAAAAAAAATAATAAAATATTCTATAATGGGTATTTGTTAGACACATTCTTAGGGGTAACCCCCTCAGCAGTAAAAGAAGCATTTTTCCCGTTTATCAAAGAAAGTTGTCCCAGCTTTGAAACTTGAAAGATATTTGATTTCTGGCAATTTTTTTTTCATTAATGTGTTTTTATACATTCCTTCTTATAAAATAAGGCAGTAACCACTTACCAAATATTAATTAATATACAGAATGTCCTTTGAAAATGAGAAATGTGACCCGTTTTCAATGTGACAATCAATGAAAATTGAAAGGAAACTTGTATTACAACGAAGTTACTTTATATATAAGTAAAATATTGAGATGCCATCCATATTTCATTCATTAAAAAAAGTTATAATTATTGATGTGGGAAGTAAATGAAATTCATGCATATTATATTGTATTTATATTACTAATTTGTGTACAATATACACTGTATTCAATTTGCATAAATTTCATTTACTACTGACATCAATAATTATACATGTAACTTGTTTTTATGAATGATAAATGGATGGAATTTCAATATCTATTATTTACAAGTCATCTATAAATATTCTTTCAATTTTCAGTGATTGTAACATTGAGAACAGGTCACACTATTAATATTACTAGTACAAATATTTCTGGTCAGGGTATGAAACAGGATTTTCAACTTGAATTCAAATTAACAAAGTAGGAAAAAAATCATACTGAAGAACCATCACCATCAAAATTGGTTTTAAAAAATCCATTCTTCTTGAATGGTAAAAGCATAACATACAAAGGGGAACAGTATATTTATAAATGCATAACATTCAAACATTTTTATTAAATTTATTTATTTAATAATAAAGACATGTGTTGCATATTTTTTATAAGTTCAGGTAAATAAAATTAAAAAAATCTTAATATGTATTTTATTAAATTGTATAAAGACAGAACTTTTCTGTTATGTAAATTTAAATCAATACCGCTTTTCAACAGATATCAAGAATTTAACACAATAACCGATTTATTTCACTACCGACTCTACATTTAATAACAGACATTTAACTATAAAATGTAAGGATATTCGAGTTAAAAATCGATGAAAATTTTTATTTTAACATTATTTATATGTTTATTCACCAATCAAGGGCCGTCAGGGGGCATATACAATTATTTCAGAATGATTACATATAAATAATATTTATATCTACACTTAATCTCGTACAAGTACTTTTTTTTTAGTTCAGATACGCCATACATAGCTTTAAAAATTCTAATTTTGACTCTTCAAGTTTGCAATATATGTATACAAAATCTTCTTTAGAATTTAAAAGAAATATGTACCTCGTAGACTGACTTCGAGTCAGTACTCGTGCTTGTCATCACGTTGTTTACAGTTCAAATTTCCCTAAACAGGTCACTTCCGGTTTGAGGGTACCTGAATATTTCACAGTGTTTTCAATATATTACGGCCAATAATGACATTAAAAAGGGTGCCAATTATATTTAGAGGTATTTGTTGATTAACTCAAATGTGTTGATGCACTGTAATAAATTGTTAAGATTGTAAAAATGCAAATCCAAGATTTTCAACGACGATAATTACAATACTATTGTGAGATTTTCCCCGGTTTTTTGTCATTACATAAAGGTAAAGGTCACTACTCTAAAATTACCAACCAAAGAAATCAGCAGAATCTACAGGGAACAAGTCGAAAGCCGTAATTCAAGGGTAGTATGCGTTGGGACACTTTCCCGCGAAATCACAACTTTCACGTCGCGCAGCGCCACCTATCCTTCCGGCAATGCTACTAAGATTGAGCAGCAGACTCACTCAGTTATGGTTCTAAAACATTTTAAATGTGGAGTATTTTGTGTATTTAAAATTTGCGTGGTTTTTAACACTTAAAAAAAGATAATGCAACTACAAACACAGAGTAAGAACTCAGGGGCTGACAAATAGATTTTTAGGCACTTGTCCAAGCTAGGGCAAGTGCATGGTCAAAATTCACTTACCCTACCTGAATTTTTGCCTGCCCCACCATAAACTAATACTGTATTTATATATATTTCAAAAATAGGGAGAAAAATACTAAGTTGATCATTGCAAGCCCTGTGCTCAGCTAAGCGGATTATAAAACAGTGTAAACTGATCCAAACCAGGTTATACTCGAATAATTTGGCCAAGAATTAGAGTCATTCCTTATAATTTAATTTTAAAATCATTAAATAACTATGGGTGTAAAATTTCGTTGCTTTTTATTAGTTCAAATTTGCCGATCAATAATACAACCGTAGTAACAGAAGTAAGGAAGTGATGGGAAGCGAGGGGAGGTAAAAACTGATACATAGGCCTAGCAGCCTTGTTGTTTGTTTACATGTGGTAAGATCGAATTATTGTTTGAAGTTAAAGGTACATTTATTAAATATGGAATTTTCCATGAATCCCGAGGACTGGAAATGAGAGGAGATGATTTAGCTGGTTGTCAGGGGGGGGGGGGGGGGGGTGTCCCCATACCAAACTAGATTATACAGAAATAATTTGTGTTCCTTTTTGGATATTTACCAATCAGAGGCTAGAATACAAACAAAATTAAATTATATATCTATGACTTAAATATTGATTTTATTTTTTTTTAAAGTCACATGCCCAGGGGCAAGTGGTTAATAAAATACCACCTGCCCACCCCTAAAATTCACTAGCCCTGGGCGTCAGGCAATGGGATTTGTCAGCCCCTGAAGAACTTCTAAAAAAAAATGGTGTACAGGTATTCCATCCATCACTTGACAGAAAAAATAGCTTGCTCTTAGTTGAAACATTGAAATTTACAAAAGAACCATTACACTAAATGATATGCTTATAGGGTATTCAGATGAGAAGGGATGGCAACGCTAGAGCTAACAGCCACCCCTGGAGGAGAGAACCGCCTATTGTCATTGAGGGTCACACCAGAACAGGAAATAGCTATCTACGCATTCTTTCAAATCAATGGATGGACGATCATCACTGAAGGTAGAGATTTATTCATTGAAAAAAGTAATATAAAAATAAGTTTTCATTTGAAGTTGTAATTGTTTCATAAGTATACAATAAAATCAGACTGAGGTGTTTAGAAAGTAATAGAAGATTATGTAGATAGAAAGAAAAGGTTTTAATGTATTGAGATGATGAGGAACTTTTTCCTTACTCTTAATCTCATAAAAAAATATAATGTTAAACAGAGGTCCCAAAGCAGTGTGAAATATGTCAGAAAGCGATTAATGGGGAGACCCCAGAACCTACACATTGCCAGAAATGTCAGAAGGTGATAGAAGTGGAGTCCAAGCAAACTGAAACAGAATCTCAGGAACAGACAGCTGTTATTCAGCAGATAACACAACAGCCCAATCATACACAACAAGGCTCTGTCATAGCCCTTCAAGATCAGATGGGAAGAAAAGTAGTAGTTGTTGGAAACACAATGACAATGACAAATCAGAAGATTCAGGCATTACCACAGGTACATATGAATGAGGGGAATATGAAGTTATCAAAAACCATCAGAATCATTTTAATTTGTGGGATTTAAAATACATGTATAATGTGATTTACAAAGTCTGTTAACTGTGAAATGTCTATGTAGGTGGATGGAGTCAAACTTTCACACAAATGAAATATTCATAAATATTTTTGTTACAAGTCAAGCACAGTAACAGATTTCAAAATTTCAAGCTCACTCCCTGTTTTTAAAAGTAAAATTTCACAAAAAGTAACAGTAACTCCACCTTATTTCAGTTTTGGAAAAAGGCATTATAATTAAACTACAGAATGCAGACTAGACTTAAACATAATTGTGCACTAAATATTTCAAGATCTTGATGTAACATTATATGTAGTCCATTATGCTTTTGTGGAAAGGCAGAAGGCACAGATCATTATTTTTTCTCATGTCCTAATTATATTGAGGCTAGGACATTATTTTTTTTTGATAAGATTTTTCAGATTTGATCAAGTCCATATTGTTTACACCCATACTTTACTTGGAGGGGAAAAGGACTTCACTACTTAGTGTTGCTGAAAATGAATATCTTTTTTCTGTAATTTTACATTCATATATTCAACATTCTGGTAGATTTAAATGATTTTTCTTGTGTAATATTATTGTATTTTAGCAGTATATATATCATATTGTGAGTTTATCAAATTAATTCCATACAATTGTGTGACACATGTTGACATTCCATGTAGGGAGAGGGCAAATTAAATTTTTGTTGACATGCCATGTAGGGAGAGGGCAAATTAAATTGTAAGAAACTTTTGCCCAATCTGATTGTATATATTTATTACAGTGAAATATATGTTCAAATCAAATGAGAATTTCAAGGTCACAAACTAGAGCATAGTTCAATTTTTACTCTATGTACACAGTTGATTTGAAAATCTTAACATTAAGCACCATGTGTCTTTTTATTTTTGAAAAAAAAAATCCTGGAAATGTCACGAAGAGATAAAATTATAATTGATTTCAAGGTCACATCCAAAATTTAAACCTTACTTCTCTGAGAATAAATTGCCATTTGCAAGTCCTCAATTTTTCAATATATCTACTGAAAAAATGTAAGGGATACACACAAAAAAAGTTGAAAGTAATGAATATTAATGATCTCAATTCTAGCAATCAAACAACAATGAAACAATCATTATTGAACGTATACTGGAAGCAAACCAGCAGCAAAAGGCAGATGTTGAGAGGGCCCTGGGGGTAACATTGCAGAAAGGTGATGTTGAGGCTGTACCCCCAAAGATCTATAACATGAACAACAGTGCAGAGAACAGGCCGTACAAGTGTGAGGATTGTGGGAAGCATTTCAGAAAAAAGACGCATGTCTTAGCTCACATGAAGTACCACAATGGAGAGACACTGCCCAAATGTGATGTCTGTGGTGAGTCAGACCTCACAGCATTCAGATTCTTCTTATGTTGAGATAGCTATATGATGTTAATTTGATAAGTTAATGTCTTTTAAAAATTTACAAATATTTATAATTATCCTTTAATAGATGATCTACTCTTATGATACCCCAAACCCCATACCGTTGCATTGTTTTCATACTTGATCACTTAACTGTGTAGACCTAATTTTAAGATCTCACTAATATCCGATATGCCACAAAAGACATTTAAGAAAATAGTAGCATGTGTTGATATAGTTATTCAATTTTTAAGTACAAAAAAGACACATAAAGAAAAGTCTATAATGGACCTGATTTTCACATACTAATATATAAAGATAGAATTTAATCAGACCTACATCATTCTTCAAAGAATACTATTTATTTACTCAGAAGTTTATCATAGAAATAGGGCTTTCAATAAGGGGTGACAAGAGGCGATTTATCACTGTTTTCAATGAGAGGAATTCGCTGCTACAAATTTCATTATTGGCAAAATAATTCTAAAACATCCTCAGTCTTCAAATGGAAAATTCACCTCTTCACTTCAAAATTATTGTAAGCCCTGTAGAACAATGAGGTATCTTCTCAAAAACTGTCTTCTTACATATATTGGATCCTTGTTCAATTTAAGTAGTAATTTTCCTATGAGGCATGATCAATCCTTTTTCTGTTACATGTCATTGAATAATGATTTTTTTTGTTTCAGGGAAGGAGTTCCTTTACAAGCACAATTTGATTTCCCATGCATCCATCCACAGTGGGGAGAGGCCTTACCAATGTAGTGCATGTCCCAAAAACTTCCGCCGCAAAGATGACTTACAAGTATGTCAGAGATATGACGTGATACTGTGTAAAATGAATAATGCTATGAATAGGTATAAATTAGGGATGTCAACGAATATTCGAGTACTCGACTATCGTTCGATCATACCGACTATCGACTAAAATTTCTTTAGTCGGTTATTCATTAAAAATGTGTTACCAAAAAGTAATTTTAAATTCAAGGTAATAAACTTGGATTCGCCCATTTCATTTATTTACAGATCAATGTTCTTGTAAGTAAAACTCAGGGTATGGTTTAACTGTTCAAAGGAAATTACTTGTATGTCGATTTATGTTCGGCAAATATGCCTCCAAAATCTACAGTTGTACTCTTTAAAAGATGTCAGGATGGAAAAATAGTTAAAAGCACGTTATCAAGGTTATGTGAAACTGAACTTGTAATCTGCAGTGGAACATCAAATATGATACATATCATATGCCGAATCCGTCAAACATACGTGTAGTAAACACAGTCTTCAAGTGAAACTTTTCTAAAGTAAGTTATCCACAAAAAATGCTAAAAAAGCAGAGCCGGAAAGAAAAAATGTTGCTTTCACAAACATTATTATCAAGGATTGTCTACCACTTATTGTTGTAAATGGCGAGGACGTTCAAGAATTGTTTGGTTTTGTAGATTCAAATTTGTAAAGTTTCACCTGAAATTCCATAACATCTGACGTAATGCAACTGTTCATAAAGAATAATTAAACAGCTGTTACAAAATTGTAAATACATGTAAATTGGGGGACAGTTATGAGCGTAATTAAATGGTGTTTCTTTTGTATATTAATATCATGCAGTCATTTTAAGATTGTATTGATTGTTTGCACAAAATGTCATAATTAAAATTTATCGCAAGCTCTCACTGTTTTTATAAGAGGCACGCTTTAATTGTTTACCAGTCATAGGTCACTGACACGACACGTAGAAAATGGCTACAATTTACAGGTACATGTACTATCATTATGAAAAGAAAGGATAAATGCGAGCGTTTGATATCCTGCATTTAGATAAAATGTGAGGTGAATATTATATTAATTTTGAAATCAAATACATTGGATAAATGTAGATATACAGTATTTATTGTACTATGTAAATGTTTACGATTCAGAAATTGGCTGTATAATGGTAATATCATAGGTTAAATATTTTACAACTAGTCTATAATAGACAAATAGTGAAAATGGCATGAAAAATTAATTTTAATTTCAACGAATATTCGACTATCGTTCGACTAAAGCCTCCGACTATTCGACTAAGCTGTCCGAATAAAATTGACATCCCTAGTATAAATAATATATATTTATCATTTAAAAAGAGGGCTTCCTGTGTCGTTTGAAATTTAGATTTGTAGAAAAGCCGGTTATCTTTATTGGTTTCTCACGTTTGTCTGTTTGTTAAGGTTTCTATAGATTGTTTGTCTGTTTGTTTTTAGATCCACATGCGGACCCATACTGGAGAACGTCCGTATAAATGTGACATTTGTGGAAAGTGTTTTACGACACAGAATCAGCTCCCCAAACACAAACGTACTCACACAGGTAAGATAAATGTGAAATTGGTAGGAAGTACGTGCTTTACTGCACAGAATAAGCTTCCCAAACACAAAAATGTACTCACACAGGTACAGTACAAATGTGACATTTGTGGAAACTGTTTTACATCACAGAATTAGCTTCCCAAACATAAAAATACTAACAAAGGTACAATATACATGTAAATATGACATTTATGGAGAGTGTCTAACAACACAGAATCAACTCCCCAAACACAAGCGTACTTACAAAGGTACAATATAAACATGACATTTGAGGAAAGTGTTTCACAACACAGAATCCCCCGAACACTAATGTACTAACCCCTGCAATTCATGTGTACTGTTTTCATATTTCATAATCACTTTTTGGGGGGGGGGGGGAACATTTTTAATGATGATGCTGAACAGTTCTGTCATATCATACGAGCTTCAATAATTATAATATATGGCTAAATAAAACAACTGTAGATCAAAATTTGCTCAGCCCATGAAGTCACAGGCCAAAGAGAAGGCGAATTAAAATAGGAGGTCTCAGCATAAAACTGCCCATCCATTTTTTTTATTGTGTAAATTACATTTTAATATATTTTTTTCTTTAGTCAATTACTGCTTTTAAAACAATAAACCAAAATATAATTTAAAAGTTTTTTTCTTTGCTGTCACATTTGAAACAAGAATGTGCATATATGTACAATGTACATGCTTAGAGAATGCTTTTTGAGATGTGATTCAATTATCCAGACGATTCATTTATCCGGACGATTTCGTTGGGGACAGAGGCGTCCGGATAAACGAGGCGCCACTGTACATGTATATTCTCTATGTCATATTTTCATTATGTTATTTTCATTCACCATTTATTTTGTTTTCGGATGAGAAACTTGCTGAAAAGTGTGTAAATTTGAGTGTTGTCAAAAAACTGGATTTTTGTACTTTTAGGTGAGAAGCCGTACCAGTGCACAGTGTGTAATAAGAGTTTCCGCACTAAGCCCCACCTGGAGAAACATCACAGAACACACAGTGGAGAAAGGCCATACAGGTAGGTAAAAATAAGATCATCTGTAATATTGACTGTAGATGAAGTAATGTCATGGATCTCTCTGTGAGAGGGGCCCTGTGAGAGTATTACTGTGTGTATGTTTTGTTTTTTAGCTCTACTGGTCAGAGATCAGAGCTTAACTCTTTCCCACTCAGAGCTTTTAAGATAAGGCCTTACTGTATACTCCCGTAGCAAGCCACTGCTGCAGCCTTATCTCCACAGCAGTGTAGCATCAGTGATAACCCCATTTACTCAGGCATTTTCAGAAATAAAGAAAAAAATCACAGTGCTTTATATTTATTCTTAATACTCTCAAATTATTGGGTAAAATATATAAAACCAAGTATTTTTATTTTCAGCACAATCTCATCTTTACAATGATGATAATTTAAAGCCAATCCATTATTTTCAAACTATGAAAAAGTTTGGTAAATGTCAAGAGTAAGTGTATATACACACATTTTTCATGACAAAATATTTAGAATTTAATCATCTTACAGTCATTAAAAAGGTTTCAATGTCTATTTTGGTATGTGAAAAGATCCACTTTTTGCATAGATGCACACTGCAAAGTTTACACACAGAGATAATCTTTTTAATTTCTTTTTTTGGCCAAGTAAGCCTTCTTTTCTGCTTCAGTGATTTTATACCAGACACGGTTTTCCTTTCCCTTCTGTGCATTTATTCGCCGTGCACTTTTATTCTAGTGATGCACATACTTTGTAATAATGTTTGGATAAAACATATCACCCAAGAAATCTTTTGTTGCAGTTGTTTTCACACAAAAATCGGCTACGGAATACTGGCCATGTGACTTTCACACGCTAATCAACTCGCACGCCATGAAATGTCGAAGGTTTTCTGGTCAATTATAATGTTCCGAATTATTTTTTTCTGCACAAATGAATTCTTTATGAATATATGTATTCGATTCAGCATCCTAAAACCCATAAAAGTTTATCTAAATCGTCGCGTGAATAGAAATAATCTCACCGTACATTGTTCGTAATCCGCCATTTTGAATAAACAACTTTCGTTTTTCCTACCCTACAAGGTAAAAACCATCTTTATTTATAGGTACACGTGAATTGATGACAGTGCACATACTTTATTTTTGTAGGCCAATAATAACGCTTCAATTTGATACCTGCCCCAAAGTTGTCGACGTCATAGTCTCGTTTTCACATAGTCTTAAAATAACAAGACGTCAAAAGGCGCTTGTGCGGAAATTCTGTATAGGCGTCGAGAGACGCTATTGCGGTAATCATGGATGGGCGTCGAGAGACGCTTGTGCGGAAATCCTGGCTAGGCGTCGAGAGGCGCTTGTGAGTGGGAAAGAGTTAATGTATAAGTAAGGTGTCTGTCTGTAAACAATTTATCAAAAAATTTATCAAACGCTACTCCTCCTACAGTTTTGGTCTGATTTCAATAAGACTTGGTATACAAGTAGACTATACTATAATTCTGTATACCCTGGGATGTCCTTGTGGTAACTTATGCCTATCCTTTAGTTATTAAGCGAGTATCCTTTTATTTTGTGTATTGAAGTATATACAATAAACAGTTACTATGCCATTTACAAATGCAAATATAAACCATATTTACAATACATGTATTACAAGTACATTTATTAATGTTGAATTAGTAATGGAAAGAATTTCACAGAAATTTCTATTTGTATTTACCATGGGTCCATGGCAACTCTGATCGTCAAAATCAAATTTGATACATGTATATAGAATTATGTATTGAAATATAGTCTACTTGTGTATCAAGTCTTATTTACATGTAAATAAGACCAAAACTGTAGACGGAGTAGTGTTTTGAAAGAATTTCTTTAATTTTAGTAAACATCGCAACACTGTTTCTGATATATGTATACAGGGGTATGTCTTTGTCTTTTTACCACAAAGACATACCCCTGTATACATATATCAGAAACAGTGTTGCGATGTTTACTAAAATTAAAGAAATTCTTTCAAAACACTACTCCGTCTACAGTTTTGGTCTTATTTACATGTAAATAAGACTTGATACACAAGTAGACTATATTTAGATACATAATTCTATATACATGTATCAAATTTGATTTTGACGATCAGAGTTGCCATGGACCCATGGTAAATACAATAGAAATTTCTGTGAAATTCTTTCCATTACTAAGATTCAAGTCCAGGTGCTGCTTTTCTGTTTGATATAGTACAAACCAGTAGAGCTACAGTCTTGTCAGAATTTTCTGGTTTATTTTAGGGCTGTCACGGTTCCAAAATTTTTCGGGTCAGGTCGGTTCTGTAAATTTTCAGTTCGGTTTCGGGTTTTTCGGGTCGGGTATTTACATCTATTTTAAACCTTAATTTCATGAATTGAACTTGAAAATTCTTTATTTGTTACATTAAATTTTCATTGAAAAACAAGTCTTAACCATGCGAACATCTAGACATCGGTGACTTGGCCTACTATTAGCCACAACCTGACCATTCCTGCTCGTTTTGATAATTATCTAATGCTCCCGTGACAAGTGTTTTGTCATGGAATGAAGTAGATTTCAGTTGTGATGTTTATTTTTCACTGTTATTGTCATCATTCCTTTGATTTCGACGCCATTTTTTTGTATTGAACAGACTCTAATATATAAACCAGGCCCAAACCGAAATCCAGAAAAATGGAACCGGAACCGAACCGAACAACATGGACCGCGGTTCTCGGTTATTTCGGGTACTCGTGACAGCCCTAGTTTATTTGTTTCATTTGATATCGATGAGAGTGTAAACTGTTACTGAAGTGGTTTATTCTCTCTACAAGGTGCTTGAACTGTAACTGAGTGTGTAAATTTAGAAATCAGCATCACTGTGTATTATATTTTAGCTGTCAGGAATGTGGACGTGCCTTCACACAGAATGCTCATTTGATCGCACATCAGCGAACACATACTGGAGAAAAACCGTTCGAGTGTGACGAGTGTGATAAGGCATTCAAAGAGAGCAAGACCTTAAAACGTCACAAGCTCATCCACAAAAACGGCATGCCGTTCAGCTGCCCTATCTGCTACAAAGGTACATCAAAGTCCCTTGTTATTAACATCAAAATCCATTGTTATTAACATCAAAGTCCATTGTTATTAACATCAAAGTCCATTGTTATTAACATCAAAGTCCATTGTTATTAACATCAAAGTCCATTGTTAGTAACACACTTAACTTCAAAGGTACATCAAAGTCCCTTGTTATTAACATCAAAGTCCATTGTTATTAACATCAAAGTCCCTTGTTATTAACATCAAAGTCTTTTGTTATTAACATCAAAGTCCCTTGTTATTAACATCAAAGTCTTTTGTTATTAACATCAAAGTCCATTGTTATTAACATCAAAGTCCATTGTTATTAACATCAAAGTCCATTGTTAGTAACACATTTAACTTCAAAGGTACATGAAAGTCCCTTGTTATTAACATCAAAGTCCCTTGTTATTAACATCAAAGTCCATTGTTATTAACTTCAAAGTCCATTGTTATTAACATCAAAGTCCATTGTTAGTAACAAAACACAGTTTAGTGTAGTTCAGAAATAATGCATTTCTTCCATTCTGGTTGGCATACATGAAAAAATAGAAATTACTTTAGTGTAAAAATATATGTAACAAGATGTGTTTGTGAAACACTGATGCCCCCGTATGGTATCTTATGGCGAAGGTTAAAGTTTCTTCAAATGCAAGTCAAAATCCAGGCCAAAAGATAAGAAATGTTGATACCCAAAGAAAGGTCTTGTCTCAAGGAATACACCAGTGAAATTTGAAAGACCTAGATACAACTGTTCAGAAGTTATGGCGAAGGTTAAAGTTTTTTAAATAAAAGTCAAATGTCAAGGTCAAGGTCAAAGTGGTTGGTATCCAAAGGAAGATCTTGTCACAAGGATTACATATGTGAAGTATGAAAGCCCTAGCACCAACCATTTAAAAGTTATGGCCATGGTTAAAGTTTTTCAAAAGTAGGTAAAACTCCTAGGTCAAGGTCAAAGGGTCAAAGTGATTGGTACCCAAAGGAAGGTCTTGTCACAAGAATTACGTATGTGAAGTATGAAAGCCCTAGCATCAACCATTCAAAAGTTATGGCCAAGGTTAAAGTTTTTCAAAAGTAGGTCAAACTCCTAGGTCAAGGTCAAAAGGTCAAAGTGGTGGTTGATATCCAAAGGAAGGTCTTGTTGCAAGGATTACATATGTGAAGTATGAAAGCCCTAGCTCCAACCATTCAAAAGTTATGGCCAAGGTTAAAGTTTTTCAAAAGTAGGTCAAACTCTTAGGTCAAGGTCAAAGGGTCAAAGTGGTTTATATCCAGAGGAAGGTCTTGTCACAAGGAATACACATGTGAAGTTTGAAACCCTAGGCACCAACTGGTCAAAAGTTATGGCCAAGGTTAAAGTTTTTCAAAAGTAGGTCAAACTCCAAGGTCAAGGTCAAAAGGTCAAAGTTGTTGGTATCCAAAGGAAGGCCTTGTCACAAAGAATACACATGTGAAGTTTGAAACCCCAGGCACCAACTGTTCAGAAGTTATGGCCAAGGTTAAAGTCTCATGAAATTTTGCAAAAGTAGGTCAAACTCCAGGTCAAAAGGTCAAATATGATGGTACCCAAAGAAAGGTCTTGTCACAAGAAATACACATGTGAAATATGAAAGTCATAGCTCCAACCAATCAAAAGTTATGGGCAAGGTTAAAGTTGACAACAGACAGACAGACAGACAAACAGACAAACAGATAAACAGACAAACAGACAGACAGGACAAAAACAATATACCCCCGGGATCTTTCGATCCGGGGGCATAAAAATACACTTCTATTTAAATTAAAAAGTGTGTAGCCTAATTAAAACACATTCAACAGGGTAAATGCATGTATAGTCAGGAATAACAGTATGTAGTGTGATATGGCATACTGTTTATAGCATTATAAAGAAAACACATTATTACCAGTTCTAAATTGATCCACTACTATATTTTTTTGAAAAACTAAAATAGATTTATAAGTTTTAAACTGATTTTTAATTTATATATAACTCATATACCGGTACATGTATACTAAATTTTTTATGCATATAGGCTGAAATTAATATGTACTTTAAACAATGACTACAGTCAAACCTCATTATCTCAAACTTGATGGGACCAAGATAAACTTTGAAATATCCAAATATTTGAGATATCAAGGGTTAAATACTTAAAGAGTAATTGATAGGGGTTTCAAATTTACTTCAACATATACATTGTATTTAAGATATAAGTGTTCAAGATATCGAAGTTCAACTGCATGTTATTTTATTATATCTGAACATGCTATGTTGAATTAAATTCAAAATGTGCCAAAGTTAAGGAATAGTATTTGAAGTCAGTTGCAGCTACATGTACATGAACTAATTACTCTACATTAAACACAATTTTCTACTTGATTAATTTAAGAAAAGCAAACAATGAATCAACTTACTGAACAGTGATGAATTTTGCCTCTCAGCAGCACAGCAATCATTCAGAGTAAAACGTAATATTAGATTGATAGACTAACATCATGTGATGAAAGTCAGAAATATGATCACTCAAACTTTTGAGGGTAGAATGAGGCTGGAATTTTAAAGGGAGAGAGATAAATTTCACACATCTGAATATCAGATTTAATTAGATACACTTCAATTTCATTTGGTTCTGTATCAGATTAAAACTATTTTCCAGATCTTTTTGTCCTACACAGTAATGTTCAATTGTTACAAGATTATTTACAAAATTTTATGACTGCCACATAGGTTTGTGCTAAATTCGTCTTTTTTAGAAGAAATTTTGGAATTGCTTTTATAGATCTTTGATTCAAAAAAGGAACACATTTCAAATCTTATGTTAAATTATAGTAGATAGTCTAATATTTTAAATACAAATAAATTTTATTCATGTATTATGAAATAACAGATATACCGGTAAAGCCTTTGTATTGTTTATTTAAAGGATTTCTGAGACAGCAGAACTTGGAGGTTCACATGTGTGTCCATTCAGAGGATGAGCCAAAGTACAAACGCAAACTTCGCCTCAAACGGGAAATGATGGAGCGACTCCGAGCAGAAGACGAAGCTGAGGGAGGGCTGCAGATGGACGTGAGTGGCGATTTCTCAGCCTTAAATCACGATCACATGGAGATGGTGAAAAGTCGTAAGACAGAGGGAATAGAGGAACTCAGCATGGAGAGCCAGAATATCATTGAGGAGGAGGTATCGGGACTGGATCACGATCATCTGGGACTGGACACCAAAGAGGAGACTGAGGCGGCCACACAGAAGGTGGGTCTTACTGATTTATCAGGGTCATTGTTTTTTCTTGTGTGTAGTGGTTTTTAATCATTGTAGATATCAAAAAAAAAGGAGTGGGGTGAAAAATAAATTTTTAAACTTAACTTGAGCCCAAGATCTCTTTGTGAGATATGTATGATCATGGAGAAATAAAAAGGGTTCCAGTTTCATACCATGATGAAATAAAACGTAAATTTCATACATGTAATAGTAATATGAAGCTGTACTCAAACTTGATGGTGAAAAACTCTCAGGAAGGAAATAATTACAACAATCTAATTAAAATTAGATGTTCCGAATCCGCTACCGCTTCTCAAACATCTAACAACATCCCATTCGGGGTCACGTCAGAGCGACCTTTCGATTACCCAATAAAATCGCCGTCTCTGAAATCTTGGCTTATAGTTCGGATGCGTTTCTTTTTTTACTGCCAAACCTAAACGCCCAAGAGGTTTCGTAGTAAACAAAATATGCTTGGTAAAGACCGTGCTAAATATGAATGTGACGTGCCTGATATATAGACGTATACATTAGTTTGTACATTTTCGTTTGCATTATTTAGGTAAGAATGCCAGATTGGCGGACTATACGTTCAGTTTATAACAAAATTACTTTAATTCAACGTAAGACAGTCTACTGAGCATCAATAATGTTAAGATGTAGCCGTCGAACTAATTTTAGAATCGTATACAGAAGGTTGAATCTGATTGGCCAAAATTTTTATGTTTATTCGTAATCGAAAGGTCGCTCTGACTTGACCCCTAATGGGATGTTGTTAGATGTTTGAGAAGCGGTAGCGGATTCGGAACATCTAATTTTAATTAGATTGTAATTACAAGTACAAAAATCTTCTTGTGCAAACTGCAAGGAATTTCTTACTGAATGTGACACCACTGGGCACTGGTAATTATGTTTATTGAAAGCAAGAACTTCTTTTAAGGTCTAAGTCTACTCCACAGGTGTCTGAGGAAAATGGAGAGATGGTGATTGATGCAACAGAAGACACTAATCAGAACTCCATTGCCAGCAGTCTCCTTACCCTGGTAGAGATGATCACTAGTGCTGAGCAGGGTGGGGCCCAGGCAGCTAATGTCCAGCATATACAGGTAAGCTAGACTTGTTAGTGTACATGTGGTATTAAATACTAGGGACCCAGGCAGCTAAGGTCAATTACATCCAGGTCAAATAAGATTTGTAAGTGTACTTGTAGTATTAAATACTGTGGGGACAGGCAGCTAATGTCCAGCATGTATATGTAAGACTAGACTTGTTTGTGTATATGTAGTAATCTTGTATAGACTGTGCAGAATGAGGCCCATGCAGCTAAAATCCAGCATGTACAATTAAGACAACACATTGTTAATGTGCATGTGGTAAAACTTTAAGATCAGGACCAACCATACTAAGGCACAACCATAATTTGAACTCTTAGTCCTTCATGTAGATGTGACCATTCATTGAAGTACTCAACTAGTGTTATCTGTCAAAAATTGTGTATTTTGTTGTTTGTTAACAAGTAGTTCAGGCAGCTTGTGCTTTTGTCACTTCCATGTCATAGCCATTTTCCTTATTTCAGGTACCAACTTCTAAAGATATATTAAAGATTTCTAATTTCAATTTTATAAACAAGACAGATAAGATATTTAATAAAAGAATGGCTAATCTGATGTAGTCTCTGGTTGAAATGGACACTTGCCTTCTACAAAATAACTTAGGAGATTTATTTACTTAGAGACAGATACACATTTGATAACAGTAATTTTTTTCATATTGGTTTGATTAACATCAAGTGGAAGTATGGTATTAAAGAAGTGCTGACTGGGTTTTTGTAAAGACTGTGTGGAATTAATTGAAATGCACTTTAAAATTTACTTTTTTAGCAGGTGCCAGGTGATGTAAGTACCGAGCCCTCTCCTGCTAATTCTGTCATCACAACAGCAGCTGTTCAGGGAGTAGACAGTAAAGACCTGCTAATTCCTAGCAGCAACCAGACAACTGGGGTCATTCAGAATGTCCTAAGTCAAGATCAGCCTACAGATATAAGTCAGACGGATGGACTGGCACAGAACATCATTATAACAGAAGTTGATGGCAGTGAACAACAGGTGAGCTATACAGCTAAGGGGAACTTGTTAGCATGTCCAATAGGTGAGCTATACAGCTAAGGAGAACCTGTTAGCATGTCCAACAGGTGAGGTAAACAGTCAAGGTGTCAAACAGGTGAGCTTCAGAGACAAGGGGAAGTTCTAAGCATGTCAAACAAAGTCCATAAAGCTTGTTTACAAATTTTGATGCTTTTCTTGTTCTATGGTTGAGCACATGACTCAGTGGTCATAGGTGTTTGGCAAGCAGCTGAAGAGTTGCTGGTTCAAATCATACAGTGGGCACTTTATGTTTTGTGCTTGTCCTTAGATAAGGCACTTTTTCTGCATTATTTCAGTCCACTCGGCTGAAATGGGTACTGACTTGTGCTGGGGTTAGTCTGTGAAGGACTAGTGTTGATGACTCATTTGCATAACACCACAGAAACTAGGCATAAGTGGTGGCCTTATTTATGAGCCTCATGGGTTGAAGAAGTATTTTACTTTTAACTTATCATCTTCTATTCAAGAATGTTTACTATATACAGTAAGAATACTGTAGGATATATATATATATATATATATATATATATATATATATATATATATATATATATATATATATATATATATATATCATACATGTGATATGTACCGGCTGTACGCAAAATGTACAGTTTTTCGAGCCCATTCATTGTGTACAGGCGGGACACCAAAATTCACGGAATATGAAAATTTGTACAGTATTTTGAATTTCTCGCTAAATGCCGCCATTTTCCTCTCATTCTCGCTCGTGAGACACTGGAAAACGTCACCTGTGTTTGACACTTGACCTTCCGATAATTGTGTAGTGTACACAAACCATTGTGTGTGAAGGTGTCAATTGCCAATTGGGATAATTATCTTGCTATAAATCTGTATCAAGATACCCTTTTAGGTAGCTTTATTTTTAAAGAGGTACTTAATTCTAACTGTTAATGTTTTGTAACTTGATTGAAAAAAAATCAAGCTAACTTCTAAAGTTGATATACAAGACCTAATATACATGAATCTGACCCAGATCTTCGTAGGTGTAAAATATACGATGTTTATTACCATGATTACGCTGAAATAAAGGATATAGTTTTAGCTTTTATGTGCTGAAATTCATGTATGATTGTGTTTGCTGCTGTATATATCAGTAATATGAACAAAATGTAAATTGGAGACATTGACTCTCACATTAATACTATATAAAGCTGGCAAACAAACTATCATCTTAACAAGCTTAATTTATAATAGATTCATAAGAACATTGTGATTATAAAACACAATATATGAAATTTTAAAGCATTCAAATCTCCATTACAACTTTTAAAATAAGACATTTGCAACAATATGTATTTGTTGGTTTAGAAATAAGGTGCCTTATCATAAGAATTTAAGCGATATTTTATACCGTTTTTTGTACCGTTTTTTGATAGGCAGTGTACAGTTTTTTCACCCAGATTCCAGTTTTTTTATGACTCCTGTACAGTTTTGTGGTCTTTGACTTATCACATGTATGATATATATATATATATATATATATATATATATATATATATATATATATATATATATTTGTCATGGCGTTACGATGATGTTGTTATCACATGGTAGGTTCAATTTAAAAAAAGCTAAGTAAGTTCAAAATTGTTTAATATAAGTGTTCTTATACGACATGTATTTTACATTGTGTATTAAAATGAGTTCTTCCTTGGCATGACTCACAAGTTCCTCAGACTAGTTTATTTGTTAGATAAATAAAAACTAACTTTACATTGATGATGTTTGAAACATGATTTGCTGTCTTTAACTTTCTTGTGCAATAGCCTGAGAGGATAATAATTTTTTTGTTTAACTTCTTTCTGAGAGAAGAATTCTGAAAAATTATTAACACTTGTGTCAAGTATTTTACATAAAAGGTCAAAATGATCTCAAGATAAATCTAAAGCAGCAACTTGTATCTATAAGCTTTGGCATTGAGACAGAAAGATAATTTCTTCAGTAGTATCAGTTATATAATTTGAGCTATTTTACACTTAAGAATGCTTCTAGGGCACTCTGATACTGAGGTAAGGCATTGACTAAAACAGCTGAAGTTTTTATCCTGAATTTAATGTAGTTTTTACTTTCCAGATAATCCAGACAATGACAGGGGAGTTTGGGGATGGAGAAACTTACGTGGTCCAGTATGTCCAGGAAGATTCCTGAGTGTGACAGACAGACAAGCGGACAAACACTCAATAATGTGTAGTTATAAAACACTGAAATTTATATATGTTCTCTTGTACTCAATTCCTCCTAAAATTGTGTTTGCATTAATACATTAATACATTTCTTCTTTCAAGATTTTGTTATGCCTTAGGCCTCAAACTTCTTAAATTTGTCTCCTGAATTATTTTGTCACTGTGACTATATTTGTATAATACTTTGATGTGCATTTTTTTGTTGTTGAGACATATGTTTATGAGTGTAATGTAAGATAGATAACTCTTACAATGTATTTCATCTTCAAAATATTCTCCTGTATGGTAGACTAAGTTTACTTGATTTTCTTTTTAATTTCCATCTTTTCTAAGGAAATTGTTATCATTACGAGTTATTAAGCAGGGAGTTACTTCCCTTTATTGAATATGCATTATACTTGTTTAAATGACTGAGAATTGTAAATTCTTTGTTTAATGTCTAAAGAACATGATGGAATAGACCAAGACAAGTGAGTAATTTAAAAAAGAACAAAAAAAGAAAAGAATTTCATATGCCTGTTAACCTCGTTGAAAGACTGAGTGCAAGTGATTAGTATTACTAGTACATTGTAATAGATGTACCAAATACTAGGATCTTCTAAATAATGAAAGTAAAATCCAACAGGTGTACTACATCAAATTGAAGTTGGCAAATTGACCATTTCCATTTACTGTATAAGAGAGTGTATTGATCTATTGACAATCTACTAGATGTAACAGAAAATGTAAATTTGTCATACTTTAAATCTTTGGCATGTTTCATGATAAACATGCATGCATTTATGTAAAAAGCCATTCAGATTTTTAATTTAACCCTGGAATGACAAAATGCCAGGGACTTTTTTACATATACTATGTATATTTGAATTATTCCTCTATACTGTATAACTATTGCTGTGTCTTTGAAGTTGCTTTTTTGTTTTGATCTTTCATTGTTCCATCTTATTATCATTCATGATGAAGTGACAGCTGTTTTATTAACAGAATCTTTCAATCCCTCAAAATCACATATATTAGAAAAATAATATTAGTTATTATCGTAGAAATGTGTAAATCAATTAGCTAGAAAATACACCCCCCCCCCCAAAAAATTGATCTTTCTCAAACAGCTGTTGCTTCCTCACTGACAGTTTGTCCAAATGTTCTTGTTATATTATGCTGTTATCCATGTTAATAAAACACAGTAAAATGTACATTTGTGGCTTTTATTGTTAATTACCAATAATGACAAACACTCTCATCCATTTGTCATCCTTTGTCACCTGTATAAGTTTGGTATTTATTTTTAGTGGAGTCTTGACATACTACAATTGTGTGTGTGGAACAAACGAATTACATGTATTTACATCAGATGTGAAACAAAAACCTCTTGATTTGCAGGTGTGCATGGAAGTTTGAATTTAATTTGTGCCTATGTCTTTAATTATATTTACAACCACTGAATATTATCTCCTTTTCTTTAGTGAAAGCCACGGTCACTTACCAAGTCGTAAATGCTGCTACCCGGTTTTTCAAACCACCTCTGTAGATTTTTTTGTAGCGTGCTGTTCAATCAATGGAACTAGTATATGATAGGAAGAGATATATGCTGATTCAAAGACAAACTTGACATCATATTCAAAGCAAAGAAAAGCTGTAAGCATGCCATCAAAAAAAGTAGGAATAGTCTTAAAAATAGAGATACTGTGAGCACCGAGCTTACAAAATGATACCCCCTGTCTCCCATATGTTTATAATGGAAAAAGTCCACGTTTTGCTATGGGAGACCCAAAATATATGTGTCCGATCAAAAAGTGAAATAGGAGGTGCACTATGTAACAAAGATTCTGTGAAAGTCTCATTAAATTTTATTCAGTGGTAAAGGAGTTGCGGATAAGAGATTGGTTCCCCTCAATATTATAGAAAGAAGCCAGTGTTCTATGTTGTGCTATTGGAAACCCGAAATATGTGTCCGATCAAGAAAAAAAATAGGAGGTGCACAATGGCACTATGTAACAAAGATTTTGTGAAAGTGTCATTAAATTTTATGTAGTGGTTAAAGAGGAGTTGTGGGTAAGAGATGGGTACCCCAAAGCGTAATGGACGGACGTACAGAAGGACAGACAGAGCAAAGACTATAAGCCCCCGAATCCTCTGTACATAACAGGGGCATAAAAATGATTGAATATTGGAATTAGTAACATTTTGAAGAAGTTAGAATTTTTTAATGGCTCATTATATATATATACATACGTTGAAGTCTTGAGCTTCATTGTCAATATTCAATCGAAGATCACAAGTGAACGATGATAAAAGTGCTAATAAGATTTTTCACAGGATGTAGTTTAACTTGCCTGAAATAGAGAGAGACTCTATACTACATCACCAGAAAAGCTAGCTTACTAGTACCCTAGATACTCTCTGCTATACACTATACTGTGTGTATAGTGAGCGGGTTGTCCGTCCGTCCGTTTGTTTGTCGGTTTGTGTCTGTCCGCAAAAACTTGTAATGAAAATTATGAAATACTGTCCACATACTGCCATATCAAATGGATACCAAAAGACTGAAAAGAGTCGTTGTGAAATTGTCATTAAAAAACTTCGTAAAAGGGTTTAAACTGGCCATCCCTGACAACCGCATTAATTGCAGTTTCTTCTTAATAGAAATTAATTTTTTATTTGTCTTCTCTTATGACCAACAAGGCATGGACACAGACGTCGAAGATGTTCACTTCATTATCAACAACCTCACTAGCACATAATCCCCAGACGTACTATAAGCCAAACGCAACACAATAGATAACTTAAATTTCATTTATAAAAAATACTAGAAAAAATTACACTGATCTATCATATCACCGACTATTTCAAACTGTTTAAAATAATTATTTGTTACTCGACCTATCTTATTTATTGAACCGTCATGCTTGAGTATGGAATATACTCAAACATCCAATTGAGAACAGAGCAAACAAGAACCCCTGAAACATTAGAGGTGGGATCTGGTGCCATTGAGAAGTAAGCATCCCCTGTCAACCTTTTTACACCCACCGTAAAAAAGAAGTCCGTAGACAATTGAGTATAAAAATAATGGCCCAATAATTTCTAAGTAAAACGTCAGTCAACATTCGGTCTGACGACAGATTTTATTTCAAACAAGGTCATTGAATCGACCTTAATTAAACTTTGCTATTAAATATGTCAGTCAAATACGACCCAATGATAGGCTGTGTTTGCTAACAAAGTCATTATAACGACCATAGAATTTACGAAATGCTGACTTTAAACGAGGTCGTTGAAATCCCTGTAACACTAGTATCAATTCAATTGTCAGTAGCCTGTCTCGTTTTAAAAATTGATCGTACTCAGAGTATGCTTTTGAGTATTGAATAAGTTTGGAGAAATGACACCATATGCAGGTGATAGTGGAATGTTACTACATAAATAAGGAAAGTTGACAATTGAAAAAGCTGAAGTCATCTCATTTGTCATACAATTTAGTTGTAAGTTGGCCCTTATCGTCTATTGTCGGTAAAACATCCAAATATCCTGTACACAATACAAAATAAAAACACGGACCCTTGGAAACACCAGAGGTGGGTTGGGGTGTGCCTCGGAAGAGTACGCATTTCCTGTTGATCTGCTACATACTTCCACCGTGAGTTCTAGGTATTGATTAGGTAAAGGGAGCAATCTGAAGTATATTTTTTTTTGTAAAGCAATGGTCTAAAAATTGATATGAAACATGTCAGTCAAAAAACGACCCGGCATTAGATTTTATTTGAAAAGTCATTAAAGAATTTGCAAAATGCTGACCTTAAAAAAGATGTTGAAAGCCGTTTAACATCATCTTATTTGTCAGTAGCCTGCACTGATTTAAAAATCGATAGTACTCAGAGCATGCTTTTACCTACCGAATAAGCTGGGAGACATAAATACCATATACAGGTGATATTGGAATATTACTGCGTTTGTCATAGTTTACAGTGTAAGTGCTAGTTGGTTATTTACATCTATCGACAGTAAAACATCCAAAAAATAAAACTGATGTGCCATGTTCTGTTGTGTCTTTTATTTCGAGTTAAATGGAATATACCTGCAGCTGCCTAGTCGACACATAAATGAAAATAACTTTAGTGAGAGATCGATAACTCTTTATTATATCCATATTTAAAACGTCATCGAAATGCTAGTACCTAGATGTTGAATTGAAGGCCACAGCAAGAGACTTCTTCTCATTTGAAAGTTTTAAAATAAATTCTGCTTCGTAAGAATATAAGAACAGGTCGGTTAACATAGAAACAAAATTATTCCAACAGATTATTGGAAGACCTAGTCACTAACGAGCACACGGTTTTATTTGTCAACGAGAAACTCCAGAAACCTTTTAATGTCAACTTCTGAGTGTTTGTGTGGAGAATCAGAATGATTTTTGTCAAAATAACTTTGTAAATGACAAAAATCAGTTTCCAAGTTCCTTTTTTTTTCTAAAGAAGCAGTTGAAGTCTTGTCTTAAATTTATCGTGAGAAAATGATTCCATAAAGCGTAAAAAAGTACTAATATGTTTTGATGCTATGGTTTTGGAAGAGAATTGTTATTGAAAATTTTCTAAATGTTCATTTGGGTTTTTGAAAATCCACATGCTTTGCACCACTTTTTAAATGTGTTTTTGTACGTTTGAATGTCCCCCTTCAAAGCAATTATTATTTTTGTGAGTAAATATAGAGACTTCGTGGAACAATTAGTGGATCCTGCACCATGGTAAGGATATTATAAAGCTTTGGAATCCAATGTAGGAACGGCAACTCAAATTCACTACCGTTGACTGATATGTTAAAAGTATTCAAAACTGAAAAGTGTTTGTAGAATTGCATCCTTTGAACAGTAACTGTGAAAATAAGTTGCATTACCAGATATGGAATCAAAGCCTACTGCTGGTAAGAGCGAATAGAGAAAATATTGGTTTCGGACACTCGCTACTATTGGCTCCTTTAAATAGTCTGGTTTAATCTATATTATATGAAAGAAATTTTTTTTTAAAAATATTGTTATAAAGCAAATTGACCAAATAGTTAAGTGATTGAATTGCTTTCAAGCCCGAAAAAAAGCCCAATGTAGAAACATTGCATGTAAATAGCTGTTAACATCGAGTTTTTCATGTACTCGCATTCGAATGACACAAAGTCGGCTTGAAGACTAATTGGATAGGTAAGTGGATAAATCCAACTTTAATTAAACGTTATTTGAACAATTTGAACGAGGCAAATAATGTGCTTTGAATAAAGGAATTTGTCAATAAGTAGCAAAGTCATTTTGTAGATGCTACAACTGGTTCCTGTAAAACATTTATACAACAGCGAGTTTCTATTTTTGTAAATGCAACAACTGGTTTACATGTATGAGACTGTTGGTGTATGTACCGAAACGAGAAAAATACGAAATTACTAACACTTGCATGATAAAGGATCATAGTTTTTTATAGTATTTACTAACCGCAAGTGGGCGAATTTAAAACGGGGCACAATTGTTTGCAAGTGTTAAAGGGCGAAAATAACAAGGGGCGAAAATAACACTGTATACAGTAGTAATTTTGGTCATTTCTACAAACAATGCGTGTCAAAACGTTCCATCATTTTTTTTTATTTACAAATATAATATTGTGTTTTAACTAAACTATTAGGTTACTTTCAGATGAAATTATACGAAATAAACGAGCCAGACTATGGGACCAAAATAATCCAATAATCTACGAGTACTGTGACTTCTGGGCTGTAATTTTTCGTCCAAATGGTCATCAAGCTATTTTAAGAAATAAACGAATGCATAATGAAAATATTTCCCCTTGCAATACTAGTATATGTTTATTCAGAAAATATTGTTTGCTTCTGTAGTATTGAATTGCGTTTCATTAAAGCTAGATGTATCCACTAACCCGTCCCATAAGTAGGGATGTCAAAATATTTATTTTCCTTAGTCGATCATTCGATTGCATTATTCGAACGATAGTCGAATATTCGGAACATTTTCTGAAAATAAAATTTTATTTCATACTTCATTGGTACATACTCAGAAACCTTTTTACTTAAATCTATTTAAAAAGTAACATCAAAATTAATGCAACGCAACGCGTGGATAGCATGATTCTATGAAATAAATTTAGAAACCTAATTCTCCAAAATTTATTATTTCCCCATAAATAGAATTCATAAATCG